GATCGGAATGAGAAGTTCTCCTTCCTATTGGTATTGCCATCTTCCGCCGGGAAAAATGCGTTGTTCCACCCCAATGACCTGGTAGTGAAACAAACTTGATTCTTAGGTGCAGAGAGTGTCTTGACCTATAATCACGTCTTGCGCCCCCAAGTTCTTGGTGACGTGTAAATTCCATTTGATAATTCTATCATCGTGGAACTCAGGAATCGCGAGTGTGCCCTTACACTTCGTGCGGGGTTTTAATTCCTTCATAGAAGCAGTCCGTAGTTTTGGACGCCCCCATGATTCTTCATGAGTGAACTCTTAGCATGAGTTGAGTAATTAAAGTTCCGGATGCTCCTGTATCCAGTAAGCAACAGAGTGTACGGGTTTTTGTTTCCCTTTCTCTCGTCTGTTAAATCTAACATAGACGATAGTTTCGAGGTCTCTTGTCTTGCGACGGTGATGAGTTGATTGGCCATGGACGAAGTTAACGATGCTGAACAGATCGTCAGTGTCTAGTTGAGTAGTTCTAGGCAATTATCTAATTTCCGTAGACTTCGTTAGTTGCAAACGAATCTTGTTTACATATTTAGTGAGATATCTTCATCATTAGGTATGAGAAATCGGAACCTGGTTCCGTTGCATCATCTCCTGGCCTAATCCTCAGACGGAGATCTCTCCCATCCAGAATGATTGAAGTCGAATTCGGCAAGCGCCTTGTCGACAGCAGCCATCTTCTTGTCCATCATGTTGATGGATCCAACAGAGGAGTCGTCCTCGTTGTCAGAGTTGTCTGACTTGCGCTTGGCAACATGGTTGCATTCGCTTTTCTTCTTGCGATCAGCCTTGACCGCAGCGTTGAAACCTTCTTCATGAGGACAGAGAGTTCCTTCTTGGTGTAGGTCTTGCGTCGTCGGACTTGCGTTTCAAGTTCTTGTTCTTGTTGTACCTGGCTTGTTATCGTTGTCAGACGAGGACTGAGCTTGGCTTTGAGCTTCTTCAGGGTCATGAAGTCAGAGTGTTGTGAGTGCTGGACTCGTGGTAGTCCACATTTTTCTTCGTTCTTGGAAGAGTGATCGTTGTTGCGAGTAGACTTGTACTTCTTGCTGTTGTTCTCTTCGAAGGAGCTTGCTTGGTATCACCGCCTTGTCAAATTCTTCGGAGGATTCCATCTGTTCGCAGAATCCAATGGTTCTCCGATAGGAGCTGAAAAAGGATCGAAGTCGTGTTCGTCCATCTTCTTCATCCACGAGCGTGGAATTCCATGACAAACAATGTCAATGACTTCGTCATGGTTCAACGTTTGGTTGGGTCCAAAAGGTGGTAGACGAGGAAGTTCATCGGTGTTCATCCGACTGAGGTTGTTGACATAAGCCCGAGTAGACATATCAGCAGGCTTACGCATCTTGCGGCGCATGAAGCGTTTCTGCTTTTCAAGAGCCTTGTAGGGACAGACCGCTTCGAACAGGCATTTATGCCGAACGTAATGTCAGTCGTCCAAAGCAGGCTGAGCTCTCCGTTCCCAGGCATTCTGGAAACGTGCTTGGAAAGTGGCTTCGTCTTCACCCCACGTATGTCGCGTGGAGAATGCCGTTGACTGCAATCTGGCGCAAGGCATTCCAACGTATTTCACGGTGCCTGCACAGCTAGATTCGTAACTGCTCTTGGCAGAGCTAGAAGTCATCTCCTTGAGGAGGTTATGTTTGTCGCTAGGCGTAGCAATGGCAAGCCCAACGAAGACCTTCTCATGCGTCCAGCCCACTTGATGGTCTGACGTGGAGTCTCAGATCCATTGATTTGGACCTTGAAGGTGTACTGGCGCTGTAGCATCTGTGGACAGTGCGAAGTTTGTAGGTGGTAGAGCGAAATCGTCGATTTCGCATTCATCGTCGAGTCGATGAGAGGAAGGATTGGTTTGTCGCGCAGCTTAGACTCGAAGCTGGTGTATGCGTCTTTGGCAATCTTCATGGTGAGGAATAGGTTGAGGGTAGCTGAAAGCTATTGTGTTTGTTAACAAAATGCACTACGCTAAAAGCTATTTAAAGATCTTTCGAGTGTTTTGAGTTTGAGAGAATGAAATTATGAGAGATTAGAAAGCTATGAAACTAATCAACGAAGAGATCCACAATCAAAGGATCGTAGTTCTGCTCCCGCGGGAGACTTTAAGTGATAGAGTAGGTTGCGGTAGAATCCTACTGACTCCACGATCAAAAACGGAACGCGGGAAGATTCGTCTAGCGTTTATCTAGTAGCGTGGAAGTCTCCACGCTGGCTAAATATCTAGAGCGATGTTTCATCTCAACCTAGTATGACTAGCGGTCATTGAGAACCCTGTCTCAATGACTATTCACGAGAGACTCAGTCATGAGTCGAACTCAAACCCTATCTAGGATCGAGTCGCGAATAAGGCTAAGAGCCGTGTATTGCACTTGTCAGGGGGCGAATGCAAACACGGCTCTTAGCCTTATTCGCGACTCGATCCTAGATAGGGTTTGAGTTCGACTCATGACTGAGTCTCTCGTGAATAGTCATTGAGACAGGGTTCTCAATGACCGCTCAGTCATACTAGGTTGATGATGAAACATCGCTCTAGATATTTAGCCACGTGGAGTACTTCCACGCTACTAGATCCATGCTAGACGAATCTTCCACGCGTTCCGTTTTAGGATCGTGGAGATACGTAGGATTACTACCGCAACCACTCTATCACACTTTATAGTCTCCCGCGGAGACCAAGATCTACGATCCTTTGATGGTGATCTCTCTCGTTGATTAGTTTTCATAGCTTTCTAATCTCTCTCATAACTTTCATTCTCTCAAACACAAAAACACTCGAAAGATCTTTACACTAGCTTTTAGCGTAGTGCACTGGGTCAATGCGAGGAACCGGTCAATAAATGCAGGAAGAAAGACTGTATTTATTAGCCGGATCAGCGATTGTATCTTCTTTTCCATAACTATACTGGTAACCATCATGTTATCGTATGTCGTTCCCATGTCAATGGCCAAAGCCATCTGTTTGCGACAAAGAAACATAGAGGCTGAACCGATGTTCTTACAACCGAAGTTCTTTGCCAGTTGCCGAAGCTGGAATGAGTTGAGGTCTTTCTTTAAGCTGAAGTACCGGTAACTGTCAGTGCCTTCCTTTCCCACACAAATACCCTTGGCAACCTTGTGTGGACCTTTATCTGTCTTGGATTGGCTGTCCATGTCTTCTCCAATTTCAACGCGATGCTTGAACTCATATGTAAATGCTCGAACCTCATTGGGTAACTCTTTCTGCTCTTTCTTCTTCTTTGGTGGTAAGGGCGGTTTGCCAGATGTCTCACCAACAGAGTTCTGAGTAGCCTGCGTAGAGTTAGACGTTCGGGCGGTGTGGACCAAAGGAGATTGCACAGGCAAAGGCCCAGCAAAAGGCAATGGAGGCAATGGATGTGTCACTTGACAAGCTCTGCTTGCATTGTGCGAGTACCCTTGGACTCCACCCCACAAACTGTGCCGCCCATCATGTACGTTCATGTTGAAACCTCCCGGAGGAGTGTGCAGCAATGAATAAAAGGCACTAGAAGGAAGGGCTTGTTGCGCAAGTGCTTGTTGTGCGAGTGGTGGCAGTTCCTGCTGGGAGGGAGATGGCTGTCCCATGGGTGACTCAAATGCCGCCACTGGGCGCACATCCTGATCATCTTCTACGTTGTCATCAGATTCAGACTGCTGGAATGGTTCGGTAAAGGTTGCATCCTGCCCTTCCTCATCATCAGAGCTGTCGCTCATGTTCAACAGTTTGCCTTTCACTGAATATTGTGGAGAACTCTGGCAGAAAAGCTACAGCTACCTGGAGAAAAAGCGACAACAAGAAGAAAACTCGCAAGCTCGCAAGCTCTCACAAAGAGCGACGAGAAACAAGCATAGCCTGGAATAATGTCTATGCAATAATAGTTTTAGAGAGCTAATAGGAAACTCATTGTCTATACATGAATGTTCTTGTATTAGATTCGTTTCATGTAGCAAAGGCATTGGAGTTGATCATCTTGGGTGTCTGCCTAGCAGCGTTGCTTGGGTTACGGCGAGGACTTCCTTTGTGATCAAGGTAAGGAAAGTTGCTCCACCAGGCGTTGGCTCGCGAAGATACAGTCAAAAAGAAGATTCTTCGCCAAATTTTTTCTTCTTCTTGAGTGACACGTCAGCGTTGGGTACCGCGAAGGTGCGAAGCTGCGAAGGTGCGAAGCTGGGTTTTAAGAATCGTCCTCAGTCACAATCACAAAGCGGCACCGGTACCAGAATACCGCTAGCTAGAGCTGTCCACGTCATCTTCATTTTTTGGTACGATTGGTAGAATACATGTACCGTAGCTAGTGCATGTACTAGCTAGTACCCGTTCATCGAGGGACTTGCACGGCTGCCTCTGCATTCCTCCTTTCTCAAAGTTATTCCTCTTCATCCTTGGGGTCTGCTATTTATATTCATAGCACAATTCGATAATGTCAACAACGTCTCTCTCGCGAACACTACTCGTTGGGTTGTCCCTGATAGCCGCCGTCATTGGAAATGATACCTGCGATGATGTGGTTCAACTCACAAGCACAGATCCTCTTGGTCCTTTTTACCGTGAGGAAAGTTCTATGAGCAATATCATTGTTTCCCGATCGCTGTTGATTGATCCTGCCAATGTCTTTGTGGTAAATGGGGTAGTCTATGGAAATGACTGTGTACCACTATCAGGTGCCCGCGTTGAAGCTTGGTATGCAGGTGGAGGTGGCGAATATTCAGATGACGACTACAGAGGACAAGTGTTCACCAAAGAGTGCGGAGAATTCCAGTTTACGCAAACCTTCCCGGCTGTGTATCCACAACGACCCATTCAACACATTCACTATCGAATTTCGGCTTCCGATGATACTCAACTTTTGGTTACTCAGTTGTACTTTGAAGGGTTCATTCCTAGTCCGTACAACCCCGATGAATCCACGATCGTCACTGTGGTCGACGAACCGGATGGCAGTAAAAGTGCAGAGTTTCATGTATACGTATCTATTCCTGGAAATTCCGATTTGGATGCTTGCAAATCGGGAGTTGAAAACGGAGGTAGGTCCCATTGTAGAATATTCAAGCCAGCAAATGTACGTTTTGCCATGGTAAGTGGGTAGCTGACACGGAAGCATTTGCCCTTGTCGTGTACGATACCCGGCGTCACAGAAACTGGTGTCAATTCCACCATAGCGTTTCAAGAAGAAACCATGGTTCCAGGTGAGCTTGAAGGAGAAGGCTCCAACAGTACTGTTACTGGGATAGATCCCAATGAAGATGCTACGTTGATCGAGGCAGAGGAACCTGATGAAGAAGGCGAGGGCGATGCAGCAACCAGCGTATTGCGTGGAGACAACTTGTTTGACTAGCTAGGGACTTGTAGCATGATGGTGCTGCACTCTGCAGATCAGCTAAAAATTTTAGCACCACCGCTTTCTTCAAAGTAGCAGTAGCAGTGTCGTCTTCGCTTTGAAAAGACATTCGAAGTTCTCCTATAATAATAGGAATCAGTACGATGTACGATATGCAGCAGCGGACTTACCAGCTCATTCATCCTGGAAGGCTGAGATTAAATGAAAGAAACTCTCAGCGGAAAATCTTTTGCTGTTCCTCCGTGTAGTGCCCCCATTACGGGCTTGGCTTGGATCTTGGATTGAACAGACTGGCTTTATCTGAGCCATGGCCGGTGGCATTTCAGTGTGCTTGGGAGCTTGCAGATCGAATCGAATCACATAACCCTCGTATGCTTAAAATTAATGACTGGCTACCAGTTAGCTAGTGGTATGGGGGTATTCCAGACGCACAGAAGGCAAGGACAAGCACTATTTGATGAGGAAGTACCGGGAGAAAGGATCGACCAAAAAGACGTTGGCACAAAAGAACTGGTGGTGGGAGTCTCAGTCGTGGTGCGGGAGTTGTGCCTCTTCCACAACGCACAAATCGGCCAGCACAACACTGGTTCAATGGTGCTTGTCAATGTAACAATTGCATCCCACCAAAGAGGACCATATGCACATGTTCCACACATCAGTTTCTATCCACTGCAGCCAGCACTAGCTAGTATTTAACGGGATATATGCCTTGATTGGAGGGAGTTTCGCGCCCTTCGTGGTCGACCTCCTTTGAATGTCCTCTAGCCGACATTTTTGGTGAAGAATGTGTTCTTGTTTCATGTGTTGGTTTCTCAGCCAAGATCTTTGGCAATGGAGAGATGGTTTTGTTCGAAATCTCACCATTTTTGCTTTCATCGACAAAACCTTACTTGATAATGGAACCATCGGAGACAAGAGCAGGCTCGGGGGTATTTCATCATGGGGCTTTGCATACAATTGCTTCCATAACTTCGCAGTCAAGCAAACCCAGTAGAAACCATTTTGAAAATTCAAAGATCGGCTAGCTAGCTAAGGTTGCAAAAACTTTCCAGTGTTGTCTGTCCTCCGCACAATGATGAAACCTCGATGTTTTGCAACTCTACTTGCTGTGTTGGCGATTGTATGGACAAGTCCAAACAACGTTACAGAGGCGGCGACCTGCATCTTGGACACACCTTCAACAGCAGCGTCGGAGAATCCAGAACTGTTTTACGTGCCCAATGCCCCGCTACGAAACAGACTGACTTCCGAGGAAGTTCTGTCTGATCCTGAAAATGTGCTTGTCATTGAGGGAAAAGTACTGGGCAACGACTGCACACCAGTTCCTAATGTTATCATCGAAGTGTGGTACGCCGGACCACAAGATGGTCAAGGAAACTTCTACTCGCCAGTGGGTTCCGACCTCGACCACCGTGGCATTCTCGTTGCTGATGACTGCGGTAGCTTTACAATCACGCAGACGTATCCAGTACAATACTTGGGATCTCCTCTTGTTCACTTTCGTGTATCGTTACCCGGAGACGAAGACGAACCCTTGCTGATCACTGAAATGTATTTCGAAGAGAGCCTTGTGGCTGCGCAGCAGCCAGATTATTCCCAAATCGTCGAAGTTCTCAATCAGGATGACGGCAGCCGGTTGACGCAATTCAACATGCACGTGGACATTCCTGGCAGTGGCAGGCTTGCAGATTGTGGTAAGTGCTTTCAGTATACGGATTCGCTTCGAGGATCGCCACTTGCCTCTGGTAGAGCTAACCAGTCTCGGCCCCGCCGAACTCAGACGTGGTAATTCTAGACGAGGACGTTCCCGCTGCAACGACAAATCCATCTGTGGCTGGCGAGCAGCCTGGTCCTGATACCAACACCCATGCCACATCTGCCAGTGGCAACGGCAACTGCAATGCTGCACACGGCCATCTTCCGGTGATGGCGGCTGGTGGTGCCCCCCAGAATACACTTGCGTTGACGACAATAGGCACAACGGTTGGCGGGGAAACAGCACAACATGTCGACACTTGCAACGGTAGCAACGGAGCCAGGAGCCCTACTTCCTGGTTCTCCGTCTTGGGAACTGGAGGCGTGATGACAGCCTCCACTTGCTGGCCTGGAACCGACTTTGACACCAAGGTCTCTGTCTTTGGAGGGTGGAACTGCACCTCTCTCACGTGCGTAGCATCCAACGATGATTCTAGCACCAGCAAGACACCATGTCATTTCAATGAACTTGCTAGCCGAGCAACCTGGCCATCCATCAAGGACGTCGAATACACAATAATGATCAACGGATTTGGCTCGAGAGCTGGAAACTTTGAGTTGAGCGTGGAAACACAGAACGACAACTGCGACTATGCTGCACCACTTGCCGTAGGGGACAGGGTTCACGGTGACACCACCCATGCTGCTGTTCCCTGGATGGGACGAGGCATCAATCAATGCCCCAACGGAGGGGTGCTTGTTGGATCGAATCGAGGATTGTGGTGGTCAGTCCTTGGCACCGGCAAACGGTTGGAAATAAGCACATGTAATGACGAGGCCACGTTGGTCGCCACGAGACTGCATGTCCTGGAGTCATCTTGCGAGGATGCTTCGACATGCATAGGAGGCGTCTACGAGACCGATGGTTGTGCAACCTTCCAGTGGGACACTGAACCCTTGGTCCAATACTATGTTCTGGTGTCTTCCGTTGTTGTAGAAGGACGCTTTGCTTTGACCCTCTCTGAAGTTGTTGACGTTGTCTGAGCCCCAAAGCAGTGAAAGCTTTCTCTTTGCGTCCCATCCACCAAGCATGTACACGTGTACAACCGCACCTGCCTTTGTACTGTATCTGTTCTTTCATGCATTTGCATACATCATGCATATATACACATATGATCACTTCATGCAAGCCATCTTTTTGGAACCGGAACATCATTCTTCGATTGATGGACTGGTTTGTTGCGTATTATTGTCATTGGACGATGCTCCGAGTCTTTGCGGGACCATGCCAGTGGTAGCCTCCATGGAGTCCCAGTAAGCGCGTCCATAGGACACGTAGAGCTCTTCCCCAGCTTGAATGTCTCTCAGTGTCACCACGGCAGCCCGCTCGTTGTTCGGCTCCAGGACAAATGTCACATTATAGAAATCATCCTTTAAACAATCATTGATATACCGTGCTTTGATCGTTGGGTTGGTGGGGTCGACATACAACTCGGGTGTTGCAGTTGCCTCGCCCACAATTTCATCCCACTTGTCTCTCGAGCACAAAGCTGCTATAGCCCGAGAATCCTGGGAATCCACGCTGTTGTCATTGCCGCCGAGAACATTATACCACCAGGGTTGGCGTGAAACAGTGCCTATTCGCAACAAGTAGGAGGCATCCGAGAGCATAGATTTGGATTGTGACGACTGTGTACTGTGAATGTCTCCACTGTAGTAGCAAATGATGCGATTCGCGGGGAGATGCCGCGCAGCAAACAGGCCTTGCTGGGCCCGAGGAATCTTGGAACGTCCTACAATCAAGTGATCGTCCGAACTTGGATCCACGGCTGACTCCCACAAGAGGCGACGAGTAAAATGGACCAAACTTTTGATTCCATTGAGGTCGTCCACGGGATTCTCGCAGAGTTGCCTTAGTTTCTCCCTCAGACAATCCTGACCAAAGACGGTGAACATGGGCGCCAGAACTTCCTGATCAGGGCGATCCCCCAGTTCCAACCACCTTTCAAGGATCATCAAACCGACAAAGACGGAACCGTACCGTTGTGCCTTTTGTCGCTGGATTTCATCTCTTTCCTCCAATGCCAGTGGATCCTCACAGCACTGATCGAAGTTGTGTCTAACTTTCATGGTGCTCAACTATCAAAACAATAACATTGGTACCGGTACCAGGTATTAGGACCGGTACTAGGAGTACTAGTACGAGTACGGTTTCGAAGAGGCGGTCCATCAATCTTGCTGTCTGTCCTGCGTCCTGCGTGCTGGGTCTTCGGCACTTCCATATGACGTACGGACTGAACTAAGATTCAGTCACATTGCAGTCGTCATCAAGGCTTAGGAAGTTGATGCCGCAACAGCCTTTAAGTAGAATACGCTGAGCAAGTCAGAAACCAAAAACCAAAACCGCACTCACCGGCTCTCGGAACATGGACAAAGGTCAACAACCCCTAAAACCATCCTCCCCTTCCATTTGAATGGTTGCCAGCTTCGTTACTTGCAAAAGAAGCATTGTGTAAAAAGCATCCGAGTACACCGAGGACGAAGAGGTCAGTGGAAACATTATAGGTGTCGACCACCAGCTTTATCGTTGACAGAGACAAAGACTTCTTGGAGAGGGTTGAAAAGACTCTGATATATCAGGCAAACCGGCATCCAAGATCCAAGAGCTACATACGAAGTATGCATCGCTTTGCATTATTTCTTGTGGTAACCAGCCATGTAGTGCGCAATGCGCAGCAAGCAAGCTGCTAGCTAGCTAGTTCATGTAGGTCACCTTCAATGAGCCACCGGGACATATTAGGCGAAACAACATCACCATCAGAGGCAAACGCATCAGTCATGGTCCAGCCCACACACCAGCCCGACCAACCAACCAGGCCGAGCACTAGGCCAGCGAGCTTCGGTTTCCTGCCTCCCTTTTTGCGGCCTCTTGAGCTCTACCGAAATGGGGATAGCAATGGTAATCGTTTGATAATATGAACTGCTAGCGAATTTACTAGTAAAAGTTGGGGTTTCCAGATGTGTTGTCAGAGAGCGAGGAATGCATTCTAGGCCGGTCCTCAGCCAGCCAAGTCTCAAGAAGGGGCGGGAGACAGAAGGCTACGTATGGTTGCTCATAAATGAATACCAATGTGAAAGGTAGAGGACCCCGCAAAGGGAAATATGCCTCTCTTGCAGCTATGTTCACTCCTGAACTGGCCCTCTGGTCACAGCCTGGCACATTCCAACCTTCAACCATTATCGCTTGGATCCTGCTCCCCCCAGGCGGCTTGACTGATACAACAGATCTGAACTCGAACAAGATTTCGACGTTGCAGGACTCTCATCAAATACACAGACCAGTGATGCAGCGGTTGGCAGTGCCTCAGCCACAACTCCATTTCGTAGCTTCCCTCCGTCAATCAAGCCGAACAAGGATATTGCTGCAAATGATAGAGCGGAACAAGGCATTGTCAGCGGGATTACATTTGCCAGCAAAGCGTTCATGTGCAGGCGCCATTCCAATCAATCCAATACTTACAGTCCATGATCGAGTATTGCGAAGTTGCATTTGCGGGGTCTGTGGTTGCGTTCATGGTTTCCAGTGTGCTCAGGAGGTCGACGGTAGCTTCAGCTTTGTTGTGAACACAATTTTGTGAGCTTCGGGAGCTGGTCCATCCAAACTCACACAAGGTAGATGTTGAAGCACAGCACAGGACTCGATCGACTCGACTCAGATTGAAGGCTCAATCGTAACAAGCAAATTATCACGCTTTGAGCTTGTCCTACTAACGGAGCAGCATGTAAATTGCCGTAGAGCAGACCATTCAAGCATTGCGGGGGAACCTCAGACCTCAGAAGACGTTCTTTTTCCTTCAAAAGATGTGCAGTACAGCTGAAAAGAGAAAGGGGGCTGACCTCATTATCATCAAGAAGGCCAGTTAGCTTTGTGGCAATTGAATCTTTCTGAGTTCTTATGCTCGCTTTGTGGCTTGTTACCACCGGTGGAGTAGGAGCACTCAAGTACGCTAATGCGCTAATACGAGTATTACAGCTACAACAGTATCTAATAAGTCATTTACTGTCTCGAAATACTTCGTGAAACTAGAAATAATGACCATGTCAGGCCTCATGACCAGCTCATGACTCATGACCACAGTACGTGTAGCGTGTATTAATAGCACACTAAGTACCGACTGGTACTTACTGTCTCCAACCTCCATAAGAAGGTGAAGATGTTCATATGCATGTTCATGTTCAATGTTCAAAAACGAAGGCATGCCCACGATTCCCCACACTAGAGCGGCACAGCGGCACTCCATCTTGACAAAATTTTCAATCGCAATACGGGTAAAGTACTAGTAGTCATAATCTTAAATCCGTGGGAGTTACAATTTACTTTCTTGGTTGATAGTGGTTACTGAATCCAACTGTGACTGGATGTTGGGATGGTCAAAAATAAGCAAAGATTGAAGGCCCTATAATTCCATTTTTGGTCAAGGTTGTCAACGGCGGAGCGCGGTGGTGGTCACTGGTATTGGCGGAAGTGCTACCGGTACCCGTACGTGGTGTAGCGTTATTCTTTGGAACAGCTTACTAGCTAGCTAGATACAGTAGTACGTTGCCGCTCTTTCGCCTATCTGAGCATCTGAGCAGAGCCAGCAGCAGACAGTTGGCAGGAATGACTTCCCAACAATAAGTTGTATGGTTCTCCGGACGAGTACTGTATGCCTTATGCCTTCGAAGGAAATCCAAGACTTCTTTTGAGTTGATGCTGGAAGGTTGTTTGCGGTGGTTTAGATCCTTCTTCAATCGTCTGGCACCGCATGGCTGTCTTTTTGGGCTGCAGTGCTACGGTTGCATGCTTCGGCTGTACATGTTCTGGTTTCCCTAACTCTTGTCCTCTGTCATGCAGTGAGCATAGATTGATCCTCTGTCACTGGTTGAGTACATGTATGGATTGATAAGATAGATTGTCTCCTTGCCTCGTTGGTCTTTTATTCCTGATCCAAGCTGTCACAACCCTTTTTTGTTGCTTTACAGTCTCCCAAAGACGTGTTCGCAGCTCTGACGGTTTATTGCAGCCTGTAACGACTAGCGGGCGGGCCAGCTGTGCTCACTTTTTCATTCCTCGCCATCACGAGAGATCAAACTTTGTCCTGCTCTCTTCAAGGAAAGGCAAGTCTTTATCAGCATTGAACATGACAGTACTTTTTAGCCATAGACGACCGTGGTATGTATTTTTCTTAGTATCATTCAGTCCTTACCGATCTGTGGACAGCACAAGTCTCTTGAATGAAGCCATATTGAGAAAGGAGGAAAACAATCTCGAAGATGAAGTACCACTCAAATACGGGGTCGATGTTTCCTTCCCAATGCATCACATCCCATCTAGTTTTTCAGCATCCAGTTGCAAGTATACAGAAGAGAATCGAGTTTGTAAGACAACGCCTTTGACTAAGTTCGCTCAAGATCGGTTGGACTATTACCACTACAATTTTCTGAAAGGATGCAAAGCCGCATTTGGAGAGGATTGCCTTCGTTCCGAAAAAGAGCGGATTGAAATGGCCCATCGACAACCTCAGACAATGAAGAACATGACTTCTGGCTTGGGATTCCGCAAACTGAGACTGCCTCCAGAGGTTTTTGAGTCCATCCTCGAGTTTTGGCAAACAAATCGCCATGAAGCATACGATGAGCCATGGCCAGCTGGAGGTACTTATATCAATCACTGGGAGACACCGCCTGGAGTCGTTCGAGTTGATAACACGTCGCTACCAGGGGGTGGATATGACTTGACTAGCCAGGTGTGGGAAGCTCTCAGACCGATCGTTTCGGAATGGACAGGCCAGCATCTGGAAGAAGCGAGTATGTATGGGATTCGCATTTACAAAACGGGAAACATTCTGGCCACCCATGTGGACCGACAGCCACTGGTTAGCTCGGTCATCATTAATGTAGATCAAGACTTGGACGAGCCGTGGCCTCTGGAAGGTATGTCATCCAATGGTTCTGGTTGAGCACGTTGCTTGGACTAGCTTTGCCCGATGAAAGCAGCCAAACTCAGCCCACGCACACCCTTTCTTCATCATTTCTACCGCATCAAATAAACAGTGATTGGGCACGATGGACTTGCTCACGTGAGTACAGAGATCAGCGAGGGGTGGAGATTGTTCTTGTGACATTGATTGAACCTCGTACTAATGATTGGAACCGGTTTCTATTTCGTCCTCCGAACAGAATATCACCATGGTACGACAGCATCGGACAGTCCGGGAACAATGCATATCCTCCCCCAAGGCCGGATTACTCACTTCGTCTCCCCTTCTTCTTAAAAGGAACCTGGTGATCTTGTCCTCTATGAGTCACATTCTATCTTGCATGGGGTAAGTTATTTTGTGCCTTGTCTTGTATCTGGACCAAGATGCACAGACTGACCTTTCCCCCATTGAAACAACCTCTGGGCGATTCCATAGCGCCCGTATCCTCTAAAGGGACGCTTCTTGGCGAACATGTTCGTTCATTTTGAGTAAGTCACAGACAGTTTCAGTACAGCAACTGCATGAGTTGCTTGGTAACTAACTTGATCTCTCATACGTCAACCGTGTAGACCCACAAGGCCTGATGCCCCAAAGAACTCTCCCCCAATCTACAGGCTTCCAATGAAAAGGAGTAAGTGGCCAACTTGTCGGCTGTAATCACATCTTTGGATGATCTCCGGCCGTTTTTCCTCACCCTGTTTGCTTCAGGCGATAAGAAGTGTACACCCACGCTAAAACAAGGGAGAGTGATGTGTATTTTTGAATAGATGATGATGATGATGAATTCAATCGATAACGAGAGTGACAAATAATAAACTCGAGTAAACTATCCATATTAATTTGCTTTGAATGGCCTCAGGACTCTTCTCTTCGCAGCAAGGAATGAATCATAAAAACTTTCTAGCTGACTTGCACCTTGCGACTCTCTTTCTTGTTCTTGTTGGAGATCAAGCGCCCGCCCACCGGCACAAACGTATCGTACAGGATTGCCGAGGTTCCACAGACCTTGACTGGTTTGGGTTTGATGGTGTGTCCATCCTTATCCTTGGTACATGCGGCACCGTCGGAAGGATCCGTGTCTATTCCGCAGTCGTCCTCATCAAAGTCTGGAAGGGTACTGGGGTCTACTCGCTTCAATCGAATGTATCCATCTTCACCCCAGGAGGCCCCCCACGAGTTGCGGACCAACCAGAATGGTTTTTGTGATTCTTGATCAATCCCATAACCCTCGAGCACCACCGCGTGGTCGACATCTGTCGCGCCTTTGGTCTGGTGGTCCTTCACTTCGTAGACACCACCCCTATAGAATGACCACCTGCTGGCTGCCGTCGTCACGCCAATGGGTCCCAAGGTAGCGACAGCATTCATCAATTCGGTATAGTTGTTGGTGGGAAAGTTGATGTATCCATCAATGGTTGCCACGGCGCCATCAATGTAATCGTTGTCGTGTGTATTGTCGTCGAATGGACGCCTCAACAAAGACGAGGACTCTTGCTCCAAAGTTCCATTGACAAGACTGCACTTGACATTAAATCCCGTGCCACTTCGATACGGGAATTCCTTTTCGGGAACCATTCCATGCTCCATCACGTATTCAAATGCCAATTCGTAGGTGGCTCCTTGACATCCACCGCCACCTCCACAATGCAGAGGATTTTGCACACAACTGACCAGCTCCTGAGGACTGAGTTTGAACAATTTTCCCGTTTTCAAGGCAATGTGCGATTCCAATACTTCCGTACTGGCAACGGCCCAACAAGATCCACAGAATCCCTGATTCTTGACATGGGTGGTAACTTTTGGGTTGTGGCTGCGCCAATCCACTTCTTTGGGCAATTCCGACACTGGAACAACGGTATTCTTCAACCAGTCTTGATAAAAGGCTTCCGCTGCGTCGGTAGACTACATCATAGTGAGAAACGTTCATACAGTAGCAATGCAGAAGGTAAGAAACGACATGACACCAAAACCAGGCAGCACACTTAGCCTGCTTTGAAGATATCTCTTACCTGCTTTTTCGTTGGCCTGGTGATGAACATGAGATTCAAAGGATCATCTTCTGCCACCACGGCTTTCTTGTGCAATCCCAAAGGCAATTCTTCGGGAATGCGACGGTCGGCCCATTCGTTGACAGCCAACACGTGACTGTATTCGTCCCTCTTGTTGTTGTTGTTGTGATCTTGGATCGTCAAGAAATTAGCCTCAAAGATCTCCTTGCGCATTTGTCGTTCTTCGTCACTGTTGTAGATCTTGCCATACTCCTTGACAAAGTCGTCAAAGGAATAATAAGCATCGTCATGAGCCCAAACGGAACCAACCGTCAACAACAGCCAAAAGCCAAGCGGAAATCGAGTCATGGTACATGTACGAGCGTTGGGGTGATGGATCGTGTATCGTCAATAGGTAGTTGTTTGAGACAAACGAAGAGAAAACTTGTAAAGAGGAACAGAGTACTGGTAGATTGAAGACTCTAGCTCAATAGGTAGATTAGTGCGATTGCGATAGATACCTCCTTTCTTGGGTTGTCCCAGTCTTCACTCTTCACTCTTCACAGCTTTTGCTTCAGGAAATGGAAATGGGATCCAACGGCGTCAGTTCGTTCTTCGTTCTTGGATCTTGGAAGGATCCGTTGACAAAGCCAGCTTATGCTGGGTTTGCACCCCGTACCGATAGTGGCACCGGTACCGGTACCGTACCAGTAGGTACGGTAATGCTCGTGCTTCCATGGGTTGAGCGCACAACCTTCCACTGCAGATACGGTAACATCTTTCAAACTCTGTATCATCAGTCGCCTAATTCTTGCTCTTGGTGGTGTATTGTTCCCTAGCTAGCTAACAGGCCGCAGGAAAAAAGGATTTGCTGGAGGTGTACATTTGATTTTACCAATTTGAAGTACGGATGTGGCTTCAACAGTTACGGCACCGTACTCTGCAATACGGTAGGAGATACCGGGACCGGTGGACGTGCATTTCATTTTTCACGGGGAGCGAGTTAGTAGCAAGTGCAAGAACACACAGAAGGGCATGAAATCTGGGAGCAGTCCACTTTGAGAGTTTGAAGGAATGGTAATTTGCAAATGGATAGCGGGAGAGTGCCTGTAATGCGATTGTTCCCATGGATTACCAACGATTCCAAGGAAGTCAGGGCTCCAAGCTCATGTGGAACTGTGGAAGTCGACAAGTTATCTCTCAAAGTCAAGTACAGTACCGCAACGACGGAAGACGAGAGCTGGGAATTGGACCTGTCAATTCGTTGGATCCCAAGTTCAAGTTGGTCAGTTGCTGAAAGTCGCCAAGGTAACTTCCAAGCTGTCCATGAATGCTATTCCCAAACACGCGAATGCCTTTCAAACTTGTCAAGGTTGCAAGCTCAGAAGGCAGCACTTCCGCCAAGTCAGTGGGTAGATCGGTGAGGGATATCTTCAGGTTTTCTAGCGATGACAAAAGTGCCAGCTCGGGAAGTGTCGTTGCTCCGCTGATGCGCTCCTTTTGTGACTCGAGTGAGAGAGACGTGATACGTCCATTGTCGCAAGTATTGGCCCCGTTACCCCGGTCTCCCCACTCGCACTCGGTAACTGTATGACTCCACCAACGTACCTGATCATTGTCCCACCACTGGTCGCCCTTGTATGCAAAGTAAAACGTGGCAATGGCGTACAGTTGCAGCTTCCTCCACCGCTCAAGGCGAGGGTATCCAGGACGGTTGCTCAGCCAATCCAACGCTCTGGATTGGGGAGAAGTCTTGTCTTTCAAGGCCGCCTGGGTGTACACAGGAAGAGACTCTGAGAAGGAGAGACCCGTCGGAACCAAAGAGACTGGAGAAGGAGGAAACGATGGTAAGAAAGAGGACAGAACGGAATGTTAACCAGAGGGATCAGAGGAGACTGGGGACGGGGAGGGTGCATCTGTAGATGGTACAGCTGCACTTGTTGTGACCGCTCCGTTTGCTGGTGAGTCATGGCGCTGTGTGATGGCCATGTGTTGTTGGATCCCTGAGTTTGGGACACTGCTGGTTGGAGGAGTTTGGGGAACCAGTGAAGACGGGTGCAAAAGTGGTCTGGTCCTCCGCGGCCCAGGTATTGTGTCACTCACGTGCAATAGAATGGTCTTGGCTGGCAATCGACATCGTCATGCCAGCAATGGCCAAGCACAGAGTGAAACCAAAGCACAAGAACACCAAGATCAACGCAATGCTGCGCTTCCTTGGACGAATCATCTGAAACAAGTTCAACCTTGTTGGCGGAGTTAAGGAAATCGAGCAGTTATACAAGCAATCACCGGCATTCTCGTTTCCTTCCGCGTCGGTTTTCGGCAGCTGCCGACGATTCGGAGGTGCACCAAAGAATAGCCAACGACGGCGACGGAGACTCGACAAACGAAATCTCGGCTTGGCTCTCAGCGTGGATATCAAGAACCCCGTTCGCTGGCTCAGAGTCAATGGAATCATAGAAGAAAGATGGTGCCCAATCGCCGTCGTCATTGATCACAGATGCGATTATCGATGGTTCTTTTGGGATGACAGATATATAGATAGTCCGGGCCCTCGCTACCGGCGGTAGTAACCTTCAAGACGGAGTCCGTCTTCGCCTTTATTCGATATTGTGAAATCGTGCCTTTCTGTATACCGGTACTGATGTATGTGCACTTGATTCTGCCACTGTAGTCTTCCGTAGATATCTTCCCTACTCTAAATTAACCCTCGTTACGATGTTTTCTTGCAGTTGATCGTCCTTGTCGGATGCTGGTCATTTTCCACTATCGCACTATCGCACCCTTCAGTACAAAAAGTATCCATGTCTCAAGAAGAGAACATTATCTCGAAAAGTTGGACTTGCCTCCTCTGTCATAGGTCTTGTTGGGAGGACGCGAGGACATTCTGAGAACTCCTGCACTCTGTCAGCTCTTGTATCTCAGAGGCCATCGTGGTGGGAAGATGCCAAGATTTGCATGTCCGATTCATTCTCCCCTTTGTGCCGGTGCCGGTACCGTACTATGGATTGTGGGCCCAAAGCACCACTTTCCAGGCAATGTGGTGCTGCTGATGCTGTTGAATGGTACCGGGTGCATACTTGTTTTTGACACTACGAAGTACCTCAAATTGAATTGATCTTGCGGGGATTGACTACCGATACACCTCCCAAGACCTAAGCAATTGCGGCATCGGCAAACCATTAGATTGATCTCACAATTCCACAAACTCACAAGTTGCAAACACATAAAACAAAACGAAAAGAACACAACAAACCATCTATTTCCACTGGTGCAAAAATGAAGCTTTCAATCACTGCAATCACACTTGTTTCCTGGTTCAATGTGGTCATTTCCTTGGACAATGGCCCTGTCATTGTTGAACGTGATCTTCAGTTCGGAGATGAGGATTTCTTGGGACGCCAAGGTGGCAACAATGGCAATGGTAATGGCAACGCCAATGGCAATGGCCAAGGCCATGGCCCTCCTGATTTTGTGCTTGCAAAGTTCAATGAAGACAATCAAGTGAAACCTGGCCGGACCCTTCCTGTGCAGGAAGTTACTGGAAACTCAGTGCATGTTGGGGGGCGCCCGATTTCCTTAGATGACAACGACCTGACCCCCTTTAATGTGTTTGCCAAAGGAGCACGTGTTTTTGAGGATGGAGCTGAGCAGGTTCTGTCTCCCCTTGTGTTTCAAAGCAACACAGACAGCTCTGTTACAATCACCAAGGGTGCTGAAGGACGGTTGTTGTCAGCAACCAAAAGAGGAAATGGGAATGGGCGCGGTGTCAATCTGGATGTTCTTCCTGTGGTTGACAATTACTTTGCAGAGCTTGATGTTGACGATATCAGTGATGAATTGTTGGCTGAATTCACTCTGGCAGATGCATTGAGCCATGATGACCGTCGTAACCTCCGATCCATCAGTCAGTTGAAGGAGCCTATGAGCACCCATGATCAGCATAAAACAATTGATCGCTCTCTGCAAACTGTCTTCGATGTTGTTGAATTTGACATTGTTGTTGATAGCTATTTCTGTGCTGCCTATGGAGGAAATCCAACTGATGCCCAGGCAAGGGCAATCTCAATTTTTGCTGAGGCTAGCAAGAAATATGAAGTTTTCAATGTGAAGCTCAAGATCAAGACTTTGGCCACCTACTGCAATCCAGGCAATGACCCGATTCGATCCATGATCAATAGCGCTGGCTCTTCTGATGTTTGCAGCACCTCAAATTCCCTCTTGGAGCAGTTTTCAAACTTTGTAGCCAACCAAGGCACGTTATTTGAGGGCGACCTTGTCCATCTCTTCCATGGATTTGACTTCACTGGAACCAGCACTATTGGGTGTGCCTACCTAGACGTGCTTTGCAATTCATTCTACAGGACAGGTAAGGTAGAATGATCGGCCCCCAATGCTTTCTGGGCAATACCACTCCACAACCCTTCAAAACACATCAACTCATACTCTGTATCTCTTGCAATGCAATGGTCCAAAGGTGTCAATGAAATGACCTGGACTGGATCTCTTTTGAATCAGGCGCTCCTCTTTGCTCATGAAGCTGGGCACAACCTTGCTGCAGAGCACTTCCCCAATGAAGGATTCATCATGTATGCCTTTCTTTGCAACACCTGCACATCGTTCTCTTCCACATCCATTTCAACCATTACCAATGCGATCAACAATGCTCCTGCTGGTTGTATCCACCAAGAAAATGATGGCCCTATAACCCCATTCCCCACCCCATTCCCTACACCTTTCCCCACCCCTTTCCCCACTCTAGCGCCCCAGCCAGCTCCCACCTCTACACCTGCTCCCCAGCCAGCTCCCACCAACCCATCTCCTGATACCTGCATGGACAATCCTAATTGGAGTACCTGGGTTTGTGGCTACTGGTGTTTTGTGGCTGACTGCACCTGGTTTGCTATGAACGATCCCTGGTGGTACTGCGGCTATGATGTTGTTTACCACAACTGCCCTCAAACTTGCTACGCTTGCTGGTAGAGACTTGCCCCAACCCTCTATTCAACCCGGACGTGCACATCAGTAGGAGGACAACAAGTCTTCATCTAAAAAGGATCAAACCCAAAAACACCAGAAACAATGAAAATACTTGAAAAAGGCAGAAACAAATGAAAAACATCCGGAAACGGACCCAAACCACAGAAAAAATCAGACCAAACTCTACATGACCAAGAAAGGCAACCGCAAGTCATTGTGGCCCAAAGCAAAAAAAGTAAAAACACATACTAGTCCAGGGTGTATTTAAAATTGCGAGTGCCTGTGTCATTTTCGTGTTCTGAAGATTGCCTTTCAGTTCGTGATCCATTGGAAGAGGATCAAATAAATGATGAAGTCACCGACACGAAGTCTGCAACCCCAACAAATCCCGCTCCTGCTCCCTGAATCTCCAATCAGCCAAGGACCGAGCAAGCTTCACGTGATCTCCCATAGGCGTGACGAATACATCGGAGCAACCAGAGCCCAAATCTTGACGTATACTCATTGGGCCAAGAGCGTGAGACAGCTCCGAGGTTGAATCAATAGAGAGCAGACGAGGATTCAGCAGAGGGCCCTGCTACGGCACGGTAGCTAGAGTGGTTAAGCATCTTTATTTCGGTTGAGCTGCAATTAAATAATCTCAAGTGCTTGTTGTTTCCTGGTTTCTTTGGGTTGGGTACCGTACCCGTACTGCTTGTAGCTGACTTTCACACTGACGATTCTCAAGGCATCGTTGCCAACTCCCTTACACACCTTTTAGTTAGTAGTCGAACTGCCCGAGCGCGAATCCAAAAACCTGGAACGCGTTGAAAGGATTCTTAAAGTCGAGATTGAATTCCTGATCACTCCACTTGCACATTTGCAAGACGATTTCATTGGACGACTTTTCTACCAGTTGAATGTTTTTCGTCGAAGCCACTTTGCTGCGACGCCCGACAAAGGGCAACGTTCGCTTTTTGGTTACCGAATCGTAGGCTGCCCGTTTGCGTTCAAAGACTTGTGGTGGCGCCATGATATCACTCATGGTTGAGGACGGGGCAACTGCGAGCCGCTGCTTCATCTTTGGGCTAAACAAAAAGGCATTCAAGGTGTATTTGACAGCATTCTCCTCCTTGTGCAGGCCCGCCACTGTTTCATGAATGGTATTGGGTTGACGGTGACGGCGAGGAGGCTCTGGAACACCGCCTGGTGAATGCTGTTGCTCGGGATGATGCATCAAGCAAGCGTCGTTTTGTGGAAAGATGCAGAGGCTGGCACTGCGAGGCGAGCTGCTCTGGCGCAGTCCTCCCAAGAAGGAAGGACCATAGACAATGGAAGCCACTTGGATTTTGGGAACGTATCCCCGGTGAAGTGCATACGCCGTGTCTTGAAAGGGATGGCTTCGAGGAATCCGATCGAGACTGCCCAGGAACCGCTTGCTATCCATAGATGTGAACTCGGGGTCGTCATTGTAACGGTCTAGATTGTCCTTGTCAAAGACAATCGTTTTGGTTTCGCCGTCATCCTTGATGCTGTCGCCCATGGATGCGTCAAAGATGAGAAATGCCGAGGAAGAAGCGTCTCCAGGTCGAAACGCCACAAACAACGGCCACGTTTGCTTCTTCGCGTTTTGTTGTTCTTCCTTTTCGAGACAGAACATAACCATGTTCTTATTGTTTCGATACACAACGGCTTGAACCAACGCAGTGGAACGATTAAAGTGATGCGGCATCCAAGGAACGTCAAACGGTCCCAGTGGCTTGACGAGTGTGTTGGAGGACGGGGGTGTAATGGTATCATCGGTTGGCGCGGCATCGTCCCACCAAAGTCGTTGTTGTTGGTTCTTGGTACTGATAAGTAATTCCTTTCGGAGTTTCGTGTGTGCAGCTATACTCAGTGGGGATCCCCATTGTGTGTTGATGCTCAATTGTGGCTTTTTCTTCATCTTCATCTTGCTTGCTGAATTGCTGGAGTTGTACCGGTACGGTAAACCTTCTCTTGTCTCGTGCGCTGAAAGAAAAATGAGGAACGACAAGAAGCTGAAAAAGTGAAAGAAGGCAACGGCCGAATAGTCGCCGTGCGATGATCGGCGGGTCTGTACTCCGGCAAAATTCTCGAACACACTTCCCCCTTTCCATCATAGCGCCATCATTTCTTCATTTAGGGAACACATTTCGTCTCATTTTTTCATTTAGGGCAAACAGTGAGGTAATTTGTTCCATCCTACGTCAGGTGGACATAGAGACAATGAAGTCATTTCCTGTAAAAGGGAGTGTTAAATCAATTGGAGATATTGTAGTTGCGGAAGATACATAAGGAGAAGACTGCACTTATTACACTCGGAGGTGACGACGATGTTACCTTTTCTCCACTCGCCGAGGTTTTGCAAAAGCGCTATTACCGAACGCTGCTTTTGGCTTGCTGCTTGGCTGCTGGTGCGTTTGCATTCATAGAAGCCACTCTTTAGTAAAGAAGGAAACCCAAGTGCTCTTTTTAGACCTCTGTTACTTTAGCAGGCAACGCGGTTCACACCATCATCTCGATCTGCAGTGGAGGAGGTATCGATCTGTCATTGGTTTTTGGACATTATGAAGATCCCAACATCTACCTGTAGCGGCCTGGCTGTGTCCACTTGGATCATTCAACTGTTGATAGCTTCGATGACCGTCCAAGCGTCTGAGTGGTCGCCGAGCTATCTGGATCCCCTCAGGGAGAAACTGGAAGCCGCGGCAACCTGTCGATTGCAAGGACAACGACAGAGTACTAGTACACCTACAACGACTGCCAGCATTACCAGTGCTTCTATTTGGGGAACTTCGGAAGAAGAAGTGGGTCCATCGAGAATACTGCAATCGGGGCCAGCGCCCGAAGATCTGAAACCCCACTATATGTTTGCCGTGGTCCCCAAGCAATTCATTGAGTTTTTCGAGCCGACCAAGTTGGGTTGCATAGATCACTCGGCTCGCCTGAGTTCTAAATTGGAGGGTACGACTGTGGAATGTCTCTACATTGGACCGGCCGAAGCGGCGGATCGAGGCATTGTGCAAGCGCAGATTGTACAAGACATGCTCTGGGGCAGCAGCGACGGAGAAGAAGAGCCCTTGCCCATTGACGGTCTCGCCATTTCCGTGGTCGATCCCGATCTCATGACTCCCATTCTACGAAAAGCCAAAGACGATCTAGGGATTCCCGTAGTCACATTTGACAGTGACGCCCCCGAGTCGGGACGGGCCTACTATGTCGGTACCAACAATTCCTTCTTTGGTCGGCAGCTGGGACGTCAAATGGAAGCACTCAATCCGGGAGGAGGCACATTTGCCATTATTTCCGGAGAATCCGTCAATCTACAAGAACGACACAATGGAATTCTCAAAGAATTGGTCGAACAAACGGCGTCCAATCCGGATTCGACCTGGGAACAACTCGACGACAGTCCCTTTGATGCACTCAACAACCAGACGCTGGCACTACAGAAAATGGACGCTTGGGCAGAGCAAAATCCGACTGTGCTGCTCAGTGTCACGGGACTTCCCATGCGCATCAAGACATTGGAGGATGGAACTGTGTATGCGCCATGGCAAGAGTTTGTCGACAAGCATAAAGACCGGGGCATCACTCTCCTATCTGCCGATGCCTCGCCCCATCAACTCAAGTTTCTAGAGTACGTCCTTCTTGTCATTTCGTTCGTGAAGTACGACTGCTTTTCTTCGTGCTAACTACACTGCATCATTGTTTGTTCCTTTATTTATCTATTTTACAGGTACGATTATGTGAATGGCCTCGCAGGTCAACTCCCGTACGACATGGGCATCAAGAGCATCGATGCGCTCTGGTCCTTATTGGGAGATCCAAATGCTGACTTGGGCGACAATCCAGGCAGCGACACGATTGGAACCAATGTCTTGTGGCATATACAGATTCCACTCAAATTGCCAAAACTGGAAGTTGAAACCAACCGCGTCGGGGGCTTGCAATACATTGGATACACCCTATTCACCATTGTCGCATTGACAGCTCTGGCATTCAGTGCATGGGCATTGAAGTATCGACGGGTGCGAGTAGTCCGGGTGTCACAACCCAACTTTTTGGTCATGATTGCCGTCGGAGTCATCATCATGACGGCTTGCATGATTCCTCTGGGGTTGGACGACTACGACTCTGGAGGACTTTGTCATGAAGATGGAGAATTAACCGAACATGCGGCCCATTGTCGGGCCATTTGCATGAGTGTCCCGTGGTTATTCAGTATTGGGTTCACGACTACCTTTAGTGCCATGTACGCCAAGACGCGACGCGTCAACAAGCTATTTCGCACACAATCCGCATTCACACGAATACACGTCAAGGAAAAGGATGTCATGATTCCATTCTTCTTCCTCTTGACCGTTAACGTAACAATCCTCACGTGCTGGCAAGCCATCGATCCATTGGTGTACCATCGGGAATCTACATTGGCGCGGGACGAATGGAATCGAGTTTTGGCCACGTACGGAACATGCTACAGCGACAATATGGTGTATTTTCTCGTGCCCCTCATGTTGGTAAACGCGGGCGTCCTGGTCATGGCCAATTGGCAAGCGTACGAAGCAAGGAACATTGAATCCGAGTTTGCAGAAACAAAATCGATTGCAATCTGCATGGCCAGTTTGCTCCAAGCTGTGCTCAGTGGAGTCCCGGTACTTTTCTTTGTGAGCGACATTCCAAAGGCATTCTACATGGTCTTTGTGCTGCTTTGCTTCATTGTGGGAATGGTGATTCTGCTTGTGATCTTTGTTCCAAAGATTATCTTTGCCTATCGATTCACTTTATTGTCGCAGAGTACGCAAAGTCGGCACATGCAATCCGCAATTGCCAAAACCGCCAAGGCCGCTTCTTCCAAGGATTTCTCCATGCAGTCACAGTCGGAACAAGACCAGAACAATTTTGGCCCTGGCAGATGGACTTCTCATGGATGGCAAAGCACCGGCTCTCAGGGATATCAAAACGATCTTGGTTCTGATGTTGTTTCAGACGACTCTGCAGGCTCGTTGAACCACGATGGGGGCGGTGTACGCCGACGTGCGTCTTTACGGCGAAGCTTCGTTTCCGACCTTGCAATTATCAACGACGAGCAAGAGGAATACGACGAGCAAGAAGAGAATAAAAAGGAAGGAGGTTTTGACATGCCATCCGAGACATCGGACGAAGGAGACATGGAAGACCCTACGTCAGCGAAAGCGGCAGCTCTGGAATACGTGAAAGCGTTGGAAGAGGAGTCAGCCAGAGCGGAGAAAGTATTATCCAAAAGCCTGATAAGGAGGAAGCCTGATTCTGTACAAACTGCGGCGACAGAGGAAGATGCTGACGAAACAGAAAACCCGCACGAAGAACCACAGGAAGGTGAGGAGCGCGACAATGGCGATGCAGATCTACTGGAGGACGAGCCGCGCGAAGAAGAAAAAAAGGAAGACTGCGCTGGAGTCGAATCAAGTACTGCCGCTGATATCGAGGCCAACCAGACGACTGATGGACAGGAAGAAGGACGCGGGGAACATGTTATCGAGGCTGGGCCACAGACGACCGAAACGAGTGGGGGGCAGGAAAATGGCAATGATACAATCCTACAAAACTCACCGCAACAGCCTCGCGAAGGTGATGAGGAACCCACCGTCTTGGGGACTAATGGACCAGTATGAATTTTCTGCTTGACTTACAATCAAAGGCAGTATTGAAAAGGACGCATGAATTCAATCGTTTCGAGAATGGATACGCAGAGCCGCAGCCAACAAAAATACATCGCAACGCAACGCAGTGTTCTGCTATTGATGTCGTGGTTACCCGCAATCTTGCCCCACGGTCTGACATCGTCCAATGACGACCGACACGACTTGTGGCGCTCTGGGCCACGAATGAATGCGGGTATCTATCTCTTTTCGCATCGAATTGCCAGACGGCACCAGCATGGCCCGGTTCTCGGAGGACGGGTTTCTATGGCCTTCCCTTGCAGCATTAGTTAAACGCGCCGCGAGAACTACCAGTAGACAAGACTTTATATATGTCAACCACGATACATCAACATAGGCAGAAAGCATATCATCTTGATTTCGCTGGTCCATAAAACTAGATACTTGGGCCGGGTCCTGGTCCTGACCCAACCCAACTCCCGGCACTATCGGCCACACCATGACCTTCTCAGCCCGACATCAGGCCAATCCCCACATCTATCAGGCCCAATCCTGCACCCTTCCCAAGTTCTGGTTCAGTCAAAGTTGAGATAACTACCTGGTACAAACTATTCTACTGGCAAGTGCCGCATGCATCTTTCATCAGCTGAATGAGCAAAGTGGTAGCCAGCAGCCCGTGCGGTGGGTCTGAATGGGGTCTGACTACAGCATGGAGATTGGCCTTGATCCGAGGTGCTTCTTGTACTATTGTAGCATTAGCGCTATCTATAACAACAACAACCAACATTACCAGATATTTTAGCTCTAGAGATTGCTTAGAACAAGCTCGCAATGATACGTGAAGCAGAAGTTTCGTGCTTGTCAAGAGGATCAACCTCACACTGTGGGGCCGTCGGGAGCGACAGCAAACTAGTAGATTCATCGTCTGTCATCGCTGCCACTTCTTCTTCGTCTGGCTCCTGCAGCTCGCTTAGAAGCTCCTCTTCGTCAAAGTCTGCCATCATTCCTCCCTGGCCTGCCGCAGCCAACAACTCACCCACTTTTTCATCTGTAAAGTCGCTGATTCGTACACCTTTCTGTACAGATGACACCGCATCCGATGCCTCCTTCATTATCATTCCCACTTCACGAGATTCGACAGCCGATTCCAACATGATGATTTGTGTTTCCATATTGAAGACCGCGCTCTTGATAACGTCTATGGTTTGGTTAAGACGTTTCTTCTTGGCCAAACAATACAGAGCCCCCTTGCGGTCTCCCTGTTTAAGCCTCTTCTTGGCTTCTTGACGAAGCAAAGCACGTTCCTTACTGCCCTCCAACCTTTCCAGCCGCGCCTGCTGAAGTCGAATTGTGTCTTCCAATAGTTGCACTGTCTTGGCTTCCTGAGGTGTGAGTTTGGATCTATACGATCCCTCCACGTAGGGTTCTTCCTCCGGCTCTGTCTCCACCACTTGTAGTGACGTTGTGGACCCCATTGTGATTTCATATCCTTCCGAAGTTGGCTCCTTGGGTTGCGGTGGTAGTGGATTGTTTGGCATGATCTTTTTGCTGTTGGGCGCTTTCTTGGGCGAAAGCTTTTGAAAGAGCTTCATCGTGGATTTGAGAGGCGCCGTTGATTTGATCATGGGAGTTGTAGCTTCCTTTCCAACCGAGTGAGACCCAGGAACAGCGCTGGGAGCATTACTCTTGCCTTCGGGTTTGTTGGTTTCTGCAGTGTTTGCTGTTGTTGTTGTTGGCTTGGTAGAATCGGCATCTTCCTTGACTGGAGTTGTCCCAGTAGCAGCTACACCTCGCTGCCACCAGGGTTTTTGCGAGTTCGTTTCCGCATTGGCTGAAGTGTCCCACCACGAAGCCTTTTGCTCCGTTGTTTGGGTGCCTATCTGTTGATTGCTAGTAGTCGAGGTACTTGGAGTGTTGAACTGGCCTTGACTGACCACCGACCTGCTGGAAGTCTTTTTAGGTGCCTGCTGCAAGAGCTTCTTTGTCGCCTGCTGTTCCGAGTTATACACCGTTGCTTGAATCGAAGGTTTTTCTGTATTTTTCTGTGCAGGCGCAACACTTTTGGATGATGTGACTTGTCTTTTACTATTCGACGTCCTTGTCATTTTGGGCTTTTCGGATGGTGCCGAGGGGAAGTTCAGAAGAGACAAACCACTCTCGACACCAGCAGAACCGGCCGTCGACTGTGGCTTCTTTTTCGGCGTGACTTTTTGTTTCATGCTCTTGGGCTCTGATTTCTTTGGCGGCACAGTGGTAGTTTCTTGAGGGGTTGCTTCTTCAGCCTTGTTGTTGTGGCCAGGCTTCTGATATTTGTACCCTTCCACAGATGCTTGATACAATGGAGCATGCGAGTTTGCCGAATTCTTCTCTCCCTGTGGTTCTTGCTTGATAGGTTTGCTTTTTTGTTGCTCTTGTTGTTGTTGTTGTTGTTGTGATGGTTTGGTTTTCGTGTTCAAAAGTTTCAACTTTTCAAGAGCCCGTTGTTCCAATTTTTGTTTTTCGTCCTTTTGTTTTTGGAGTTTCTCCATGACTCTTTGTGCCACGAGTTCTTCCCGCTGTTGGCGTAGAATATCAGCATGGCGTTGCTTTTTGGAAAGCTCTGCTTTTTGTTTTTGATCTTCTTCTTGTTTGCGAGCAAGCTCTTCTCGTTTTTTTCTTTCTTGAGCTTGTCGGCGCAACTTTTCCTTGAGTCGTTCTTCGGCGTCCATGCGAGTGGCGACAAGTTCCATCTTTTGGAGGACTTGATCGACTTGTCGAGAGTTTTTGACCCGCTGCATCTTGTTTTGCCGCTGGTAGTTGCCATGTTTGGGAAGTCCTTCCAAGGAAAATGTGGCAAAGCGAAGACCAAATACGTATGCATCGTCGAGGCGCCGTTCGTCCAAAGCGAGTTGAAAGGCCGTCACCAGGCGATCCGCCATGCCATAGTACTTTTCGATTGGGTATGAATCCAGTACATGAAGTAATGCCTTGCCGCTTTCGGCTTCTACTTCTTTCAGATGTTTTCTCCTGGTGGCGCTCGCGGCATGATCATTGTTGTTGTTGTTGTTGTTCGAAGAAGATGTCATGGTGCATACACATTATTATTGATTGGGATTGTGGTTGATTCGATTCTGGGCGTGAAGAAAACGGAAGCTTTGGAGTCGTGAGCAGTCCCTTCCTACATTGTAACGGCTACCATCGCCACTACGAGCATTTTACCGGTGGTCGCCATGTGCGTGTCGGAACCGCCTTGCCGGCTTACCTCCGTCTCGCAGCCACCAACCAAGTTCTGGAGATGCTCATGCATGGTTTGTGATCATTATTTTTTCCTTTCTTCTTCTGACTCTTGGCTCTCTTTGACTTACTGGCCAAGTCACCCAATTTGTTGCTGTTTGGTGGGACTATCTAAAAGAAAAGAAAAAATGCACAAGAGTGTGTCCCAGTTTCATCTCTTGTCCAGACGACAATGGGCGAGAAGAAGTCGAAATCCTGTGATTTGGCGTCACTCCCGTCGTCACAGCAGTGTGGTCCCGTGGAAGACAAGTCGCCTCGAGCATCACCGGCAGTTTCCACAATATTATCAGTATCATCGAGCACTGTTGTCCACGGCCGTGGCATCCCAACCCCCCGACGACGACGAGGATGACGAATTGGACGAGGAAATTGAAGCTCTGGCGGCGTCTTGTTTTCCATTAGATGATGGCGAGGATGATTACTTGATGAAGGACGATATTCGTCATTTGCGAGAGCAAAGACGACGAATGGACCATGCGTCACTCGACCTGGAATTGGGGGATACATCCAGTTGGGAACAACAACAGCAAGACGTCATCTTGGAGAGTGATGATGAAGAAGACGACAATCATGAATTTGGAATGGATCCATTTGATTTTCCGTCTTTTCCAGAAGGATCTCCTGCGGCAGAACTTGATCGACAAAATCGACAACTGCAGTCGGAATCCCCCCAGAGATATCAGCCTGTGCTTTCCCCTCTGGATATGCTAGAACGGATCATTGACAACAACAACAGTAACAACAATGAAGAAACCACGTTCGATCCATTGTCATACAGTGGACCTCCACAACATCACGCACATCAACATGCACATCTCACCAAAGAACAGCGATTGCGTCAATTGCAACTTCAACTGGAATGCGAGGCACAGCAAGAGGCCGTGCAAAAGTATCAAAAAATGACACAACTTACCAGATCCCGAAAAGATTATGCCAGTCTCAACAGTTTACAAAAACTCATACTGCACTGGTATCAACCCATTCGAGACGAAATTCAAGCCACACAATTGGGATACATTTTTAGAGGGGACATACAACAACAACAACAACAACAACAACAACAACAATCAGTACAAAACAGCAATAAACAAAAACAAACACAAACACAAGAAACAATAAATGATGACGACGATGACGAAAATGATGATGACAATGACAATAACAACAATATACGCCCGAATCGGACCGCCATTCATCGATACGGTCCATTGCTAAACACGGTCGAACCAGAAAAACTGGCCGTCATTCTCACCCATGAAACACTCACGCAAATCATTGCCAAGACGCAGGAGCAAATGAACTATGGGGGTGGTATTAGTCTCGTTGATCTTGCAATGAAATTGGGACGCTCGGTCGAACAAGAGGTATTGTTGCAACGGATACTCAAACAAAAAATGCAAGAAGAACGACAAAAACAAGAAGAAGAACAACAAAACAAAAACAAGAATGATGCCGTGGCTGCCTTTGCCAAAGAGACACTTGGAAGAACTAGCAGCAAGGATTCGACCACGACAAAAACAGCACAGCCATTTTCGTACACCGAGTCGCGACTTTTATCGTACCTTCGAGAACTGGCACCCGACGACCAAAATGCCAAGAATGCTCGTATGGTTGCTTACGCCGTACGTCGGGCCCGACGCGCTTTGAATGCCGACGAATGGTCCATGAGAGATCGCGCCCAAGTGGGAACCATTTTGTTAAAGATATTACTGGATCACGCCACCATTCGATTGCCCGATGGGAGTGTCCAACCCGCCTTTCGCATGGAACGACGGTGGAACCATTCTGCGAAACGAATCAAATCGACAAACTACATTTTGGTACACGATGCGCTCTGGAAACTGGCTGTGGCGGATGAATTCGAGAGTATTGCCGCACAAACCACGCGACACAAACCCATGGTGATTCCACCCGAGCCTTGGACGTCGCCCCAACAGGGAGGCTATGCCTGGCTCAAAACCGATCTGGTTCGTTTTCATGGATCGAAACTACAGCGAGAAGCATTGGATGAAGCAGACTTGACACCCGTATTGGACGGTTTGAATGCTCTGAGTCGGGAACCGTGGGTGATCAACAAGACGGTTCTCAATGTTGCTCAGCAGTGCTGGGATCGAAACGTTCCACTTGGAGATATCCCCAGCAGGACCGATCTGGTGGTGCCGCCAGAACCCACTCCTCCGGAGCGAACCAAGTTTAAGAGTTCCGACGACCCCGACTTTGACGAAGCGTACGTGGAACAAAAAAAGAAGGAATGGGCAAAAGAATTCAATTCGTTCAAAGAAGCACGGAATCGGTATCGTCGTGTCCAGCAAAAGAACCGAGACTTGTTCTCGCTGCGATGTTCGGCAATGCTCAAGCTAGGTCAAGCCAAACAGTTTCAGGACTACGACAGCATCTATTTCCCGTACAATCTTGACTTTCGAGGGCGGGCATATCCTATACCTCCTCATTTTTCCAATGTGGGATCTGACTTGTGTCGCGGTGTGCTCAAATTTGCCAAGGCGAAACCTCTCGGGAAACGCGGTTTGTTTTGGTTGCATGTTCATGTGGCCAACTTGGCGGGGAAAGACAAGATGACCTTTGACGATCGGGCACAGTATTCCATGGACAATCTTGAGAATATTCGAAAGTCAGTCCAAGACCCATTGGGAGAAAATGACGAGTCCGGCGAACGACCCTGGTGGATGTCTTTGGATGACCCTTTTCAGGGTCTGGCGACGTGCCACGAGATTGTCAATGCCATTGATTCTGGCAATCCCGAAACGTACATGTGTAGCTTGCCAGTGCACATGGACGGCAGCTGCAACGGCCTGCAACACTATGCAGCCCTGGGCAGGGATATCGTGGGCGGGACTGCGGTCAACCTTTGTAACTACGACGAGCCACAGGACGTGTACATTGGGGTCATGGAGGAAGTCATTCGCCGTGTTGCAGAAGAAGCCGAACGAGAGATAGAATACGATGTAGACAACCCCGAGCTTTCCAAGAAGGAACGAAAAGAAATCCTGCATAACAAGTCTGCGAAGCTTGTGAATGGTCTCATCGACCGAGGTGTAGTCAAGCGAACGGTGATGACCAGCGTCTATGGAGTGACATACATTGGGGCTCGCCAGCAGATTCAAGAAAAGATCGAAGAGAAGGTGAGTGAGGGCAGCAATTCGGTTGACGTAGCCACTGCACTGGGGGCGTCTTTCTAACTCTGATATGTTGGCTTTCCTGCTCTGTTTAGCTGGAAGAACTTGGACGCGATTTGGACGAAGTCAACTACGAAGTTTTCGCTGCAAGTGGCTACCTTGCGCAAGTGACGATGGAAGTGATTGGCGATCTGTTCACTGGAGCAAAGCTAACCATGAATTGGCTCACCAAATGCGCACGATTGCTGTCCGCCAAGGGTTACCCCGTGGCTTGGATGACGCCTCTTGGCCTGCCTTGTATTCAGCCTTACCGTCAAAAACGGACCTCCAAGGTCGTCACGGCTCTGGCATCCGTTTTGATTGCTGACTTCAGCGACGACTTGCCAATTCACAAATCTCGTTCCGTGTCAGCCTTTCCTCCCAACTACATTCACTCACTGGATTCTACGCACATGCTCATGACCGCCATGGAAATGGACCGACGAGGGCTAAGCTTTTCGGCTGTCCATGATTCCTTCTGGACTCATCCGTGTGATGTGGACGAAATGAACGAGGCTTTGCGGGACCAGTTTGTCGAACTGTATTCACATCCGCTTCTTGAAGAACTGAAGACTTCGTTTGAAATCAGATACCCCGACATCAGCTTTCCCGATCTTCCCGACAAAGGAAGCTTGGATCTGGAGGAAGTGAAAGAGTCCTTGTTCTTCTTTCAATAGAAGCAAGACGTCTCTTCAAATGACTTTGTCCAAATAGTACAGTACCAAGACTTTGTTCAAATAGTTCAAGACTTTGTTCAACTTGCTTTGAATAGGCTCAAGAAAGCTGTTCCCGGGTTAGCCCACTCACTGGTGCCGGTCCAATCGAGAAATTTTTCTTTAAGTTTCTGAGGGACTGACCTTGTAGTTGTGTGGTCGCTGCTTGCTACTGGCTTCCGTAAGTAAATAACTTCCCTACCTGATACTCTAAAACCCCCTTTCTACCGGTACACTTGTTGCCAGGTCTCTGCTGGGGATGATAAAGCAATAGCCTCAACACCGCATGTCCTAACATGGCAAAAACTTATCTCATCTTGTACTCGGCGTCTACATCAAACAGGTCCGCTGCCTTTTTGGGACTGGACGGAAGGATATTTTTCTCGAAGCGCCCCAATGGCGCGCCGTCTCCGCACCGTTCCCGCGTTCTAGAATCCAATCTGATTGGCTGAGGAAAGATCTTTGACCGTTGCGGCTAATGCCAACACGTCCTCTGCGCGGCAGCTCCCTCACTCACCACATCTCACGACAACACCACAGTTACCTGAATTTACCAAAGCCATCTGCCATCTCCAAAGCTCTTTGCCACTCTTCTCTTGCTCTCTTTGATCTCTCTCCAAGTTAATCTATCTTCAGTTTCGTCCCATTCTTTTCGCTTAGTATATTCACCATGAGCGACCAACGAAAAGCCGTCATCAAGAATGCTGACATGGAGGATAAAATGCAGCAAGATGCCGTGGACATTGCATCAAAGGCACTTTCGGAGTACAACATTGAAAAGGTGCGGATCCAGCGTGTTCAGGTCTGTCGTGCTGTGCCGTGTGGGTAGATGGCTGACCACTGATCTTATTTTGTCTCTTTATTATTGCAACATGATAACAGGATGTGGCAGCTTACATCAAGAAAGAATTTGACCGACGATACAATCCAACTTGGTGAGTAGTGCTCATTGACGGCTGCGTATCTTTCCATCAGGCCAGAAGGCCCCAAATCGAATCCATTGGAATGGGCCGTGGGTGGTGAAGTAGTGCGAGTGTGAATTTTGAGTCCGTTGGTTGCCAGAAGTGTCAACTTGTTTGAGTGATCAGATATCCCCAGTGATTGGCGTCTATTGCGGATGAGGCTGCATTACCCTCTACAATCTACTCCGTGTTGAACTTGCCATCTCACCAGATTTTCTCTCATCCACTGATTAACAGGCACGTGATTGTGGGGAGAAATTTCGGGAGCTATGTGACACATGAATCCAACTTTTTCATTTACTTTTATCTGGGACAAGTTGCCATTTTGATATTCAAGAGTGGTTAAGACCTTTATACGCGATATATCTCCAACAATCAGCACGTTTTTCGAAACAAATACTATATTTAATTTGCCTTTGGCTGGATGGGATGAAGGTTGACAATCAAGGGCATCTTCTTCTGTATCTCCTTGTACCGTTCTTTTTCATGTTATGCATGAATGTAGAAAAGTTCATTGGGAGTGCCAGAGCTTGAGAGAGATTGGAGGTTGAAAAAGCAGGCATTGGATAATCAAATACATGGAAAAGATTTAGAGTTTCTATGCAGATTTCATCGTTTTCGTGGTGCTACCGTAGCTAGCTAGTGCCGGTAGAATAGAAACTACGGCACTCACTCCTTGCGCGTTGGCTCCGAAGTGGCCGCTAGATTACTAGTAGTAGTCTGCTGCTCTCGAGGCTTCCACCGTTCGATCCTATCCAACTTTGGTACGGGCTACCCCACAGAGTCCTCAAGCAACCAACCACCTTCCTACCCGAGTATCTATCTAGCTAGTTTTATTAGTAGTTCCGGTTTGATGACTTTGCTGCGACCCACCGCACCGTGGCCTTTCGGCGTCGGCTTTTCATGAGCAGTACTGGTTACGGAATGTTGATCGAGCACTCATCAGCTGTGCCATGTGTAACTTGATTGGATCATTCGGTGATCTTCTCAGACCATAACGAGACGAAGGACTTCAAAAATGTATTCAGGACATCAAAACATCAAAACTTCCTAAGGTTCATTAGCTTTGGAGGACAGCGCCATCATGGCAGCACGTCCAAGATTAGGCTACAGCTAGGCAGGACTTTGCGAAAGAGTGCCAAAGGCGCCACTTCAAGCATCATTGCTTCTATTGCTGTACGTACGGTATTTACAAACGCGCTCCAAATCCCTTGGCGTATCGGTCATTGTTGATTGCATATCTTTTGAAAGAAGTGTCTCTGACAAGGGTAGCCACTTGGTTCAGAGGTGGTTTTTCCTTGTAGGTTTCCAACAGTTCCACGCTGCCATCAGGACGTTCAATGTAGGCTTGCCAAGGACCAGCTGTACCGTAGAAGTAAGGTATGACCATACCAGAAACCAAAAATTATTGTTCCAAAGAGAAGAGGGGGGGGAGTACAGTGAGATCAATTGAGATTTCTGCACGTATATATTGTCAGCTCTGTGCCAAAGCACGCAAGACATGGAATGACACCATGATGTATGCACGTACGAAAGATGCGAAAGACCCATCCCTTGGAGATTCTCTTCAAATAGTAGGCTTCCTCATAGCCACGTTTGTTTCCCAAATCATAGCTTGTGGAGTAGGCATTGTTCAATACGACAAAGGGCTGTCCGGGCTCACAATGAGCATTGGCAATGGAATCCCATCGTTCTTCTCCGCCCGGGTTGACACAAATAACGGCTTCGTTGCTGCGTCCTCCTTGACGGGCCTGAGGCGACAGGACGGCGCCCGTACGGGTGACGTCTCCCGTCTTTTTGATGGCCTTAAAGGAGACATTTTCCGTGGTCAAACAAGCCACATTTTTGCCACCCAAGACACCCCCCTTGACGGCAGGAGCAATCTTTTTGGCCCAGTAAATGTTGGCAAAGGCCACCAATTCACGAGAAACTTCAGATCCCGGGGTGTACCCACCCACCACGCCCAAATCACGGGCTACCACACTGGTTCCAAATTTCTTGTTGAGGGGAGTACCAAACTTGACCTACCGTACGGATTTAATGAAAGAAGAGAAAATGCATCATGGACATGGTGAGCCGACATACATTGCTAAAAGCCTCAGTAAAAAAAGGTAGCTCTAAAAATTCTCACCTCATCCACATTTGGAACGGCAGGAAAGTTGACCTCAATTTTGTCGTAGCCAGCCGAAAGAGCGTTTGAAATACCGGTGCTAGCCTGTTTGGCAATCTGATCATTGAGCCAACCGTCATACAACTTGGGCATTTGCTTTCCTCCGTCGAGCAGGGGAACCAATGACACGACGGAGCATGGAAAAAGCAACGCAATCGCTACTGAGGTCTTCATCTTTCAGATCACTTCAAAAGAGAATAGATTGTGCAGAACAGAATGATGATACCACTCTTTATTGTATCCTCTGCCGCTGCTGTGAAAGAAAATTGATTACATATGCAAACAGAGGCGTGGTATCTTCTCATCTTATCTTCTTTGGTGGCAGATGTTCGAAGGAGGAACGAAGTTGAAGACGAAATTCATACGTGGTGCCTCATCTCATTCACGAGCAGGACTTGATTAACAGCTTTGCCACCTTTTTCAGAATGTCGTTACGCAAGACGGCAAAAGCAAACTCGTTCAACCTCATTTATTTTTTGGCTCGAACCAAAACGCATTCAGCACATCTTTGTCTTCTTGAACCTTTCATCGTGAGTTTCGAAGAGAAGAAGCACCAGAAAGCAATGATGTGATTGTCAGTTGCCTTGCCTCCTCATGTGGTGTTCGTCGTTGTCTCACTCCTTCTTCTCTTTTTCTCCCCTCAAACAGGTTCTTTCGCTTTTCCGTTTCGTCGTTTCTTTTTGCGCCATGAAAACGTCCCACAAAACCGATACCCCCAAAGTGGATACCCCTCCAGCAGCGGTCGAAGCCCCTGCTGTCAACAATGATCTCACCAACCTTTCCATCTTCGAGGCTCCCGCCTTCAACGATCCCAGCATTTGCAACAGCCGTACTGGACTCGTCAACGGCATTGCCCGTCGCGTCGGTAACGACCGCATCGTCTTCTTCATTCAGACGGGCCACGTCGATGATCGAGCATCTCGCAAAGCTGTACTCGTGGCTCAACGCCAACGGGCGTCCAAGTGGTACCTCTTTGATGTCTCGGACATTCAGAACGATGGATCGTCAAAGTTCCCGTTCGAAACGTTCTCCTCCAAGGACGATGCTCGCTTTGTCGGCAAGTTCAATCGAATGAAGGATTCGAAATTGGCGGCTTTGGCAATGAAACAGTACGTGGGATTCTCACTCTTTCAAGGACGCGACAAGGTCCCTCCTGTCCAATCCATCTTGTACGAAACCCCCGACATCAAGACCTTTTGGAAGAATAAGCACACTCGCACTTGTCACATGGTTTGTTTGGGGACTCCCACTCCCAACGCTCGGGGCAATGGCATTGTCGACAGCAGTCGCATGGAACAGTCCGTCAAGTTGCTTCTCGGAAAGAAAAAGACGCTCAGCGATGTCGTGGCACCAGACTTTGGAATCTACGTTGGGGCGACCAATCACATGAAGAACGACGCGGGTGAGCCTCATCCGATCTTCCATGGACGCGCCAACAAGGTGGCGGCTCATGAAAACATGGTCCTGGCCGACTTGCTCACCAAGCGACACAACCTTCAAATGGTTGCCTACAAAAAGCACGTGGAGTGGAACGTCGACTTCGCATTCCCGAATTCTGCATTCACGGCGTTTGCGTTTGCCTTGTCGCAACTCGAAATGGGCAACGTTTAAGTACTAACCAGCCATGCCGCTCGGCACATCACACTTCAATGACGCCGTCATGTATCGTTTCAACTAACTCACGATCTCAAAGCGAACGCAACTTGATGCAAACAAAAAATCATTCAAATCAATAAAATCATTTCTGTAGGTTTTTACACACGAAATTCCTTGTACCATAGATTCATTAAGCAAGTAACGGCGGGGAGTAGATAAACGCTCAGTCGAACGAGACGAAGTGGCTGGCTGTCGCAAGCCCCTTACACACAAATAAATCGAGGAAGCCCCCGTCATAGCGTGGTGGGCTGCACATAGCTTGGAATAACGACAATTTCACGACGTCCCTCCCAGTACTGCAATGCCGAGAGACACTCTTCCAATTTCTTTTGAGATTCTTTCCATTGAGGAGAGCTTGTGGCGACCCCTCTGTTGACAAGTCCCTGGTGATGCATCATCGCGTACAAATAGTTGTCGCGCGCCTTTGTCTCTTCAGCATCAAAGTCAATCATCCTTGCGTCACGAGGATTCAATTTTCCCAAAGCGCTCTTGGCGGCGATTCCACTCGAGGCGTGGCTTTGTTGTTCCTCGCCTAGCATTTCCCAGTACTCGATTTGAGCATAGCTATCACGAAGGAGCTTTTCAGATTTCCTCCATTGCATTGTACCAGGGGCAACTCCAGCCTTTTGTAGTTTCTGGTGTTCCTTGGTAGCCTTTATGTACCGTTCTCTGGCCTTCAATTCCTGTTCTGCAATATTCTGTGCCGTCATCATATTAGCCATGAGAACGTCGGAACGAGATCGCACAAGGTCAAGGAGTCCGGCTTCGTCAGTCTCTTCCACGCTGTTTAGTAATGCCAACTCTTGTTCGTATGACTTGCCCAGGGCTCTGAAATCGATCAAGGTTTGCTCCTTATTAACGTGCTTGGTGATCTCTGAAGTCCCAAATATCTGAGATCCCAATGACGAGATACTATCCGAATCCTTGGGACTTGTGTAGATTTCTTGGTCTCCAAAAGATTTCTCGAGATCGGACTAAGAAGAGGACCCACGCGTCGTTAGTTCTCAGAAACAATCTACCAAGCCACCACTTACAGACGCCACCAGCCAAGGAGACTCACCGTTCTCCTGCTTTCTTGTTCTTCCTCGTCTCTTTGGTCGACCACTTCTGCCTTCTTTTTGCCTTTGCCTTTGTTGAGCCATGGGATTATAATTGGTTTATTGTAGGAATCATCGTCCTTGCTCTTCTTCAGCTTGAGCACGGCCTAAGAATAGAAAGATAATCGACGCTGTTGGATCAGAAAGCAAAGCTTCAATTGTCTCTCGAAAGTAAGTGATCCCGCATGCTTACCTTTTCCGCCTCGTCCTTCGAATCCCGTGACTTCGTTCTTACCTCTCGGGTTGCCGACAGGTCGTCACATTGTTTTTTGATCTGTTCCAACTCCTTCAAACGAGACTTGCTCTTTTCCAATACCTTTTTGAAGCTCTTGAGCTCCTTCTTGAGTTTACCAGTTAGCTTCTTGTCTCCGCTCTGGTTCGCCCTTTCCATGGCCATGGTGGCAACTTGGATCTGTTGCTCAAGTTGTTCCAAGCTCATGGTGCCAATTTGTTTTTGTTTTGGTTGGCTCTGCTATACCCTCCAATAGATAAAACTCTATCTCGAAGGGACGAATGAGGCAAAGAAATGCAAGGTTTCAGGAACAGAAACTTTGGCTCCACTTTGGCTAGAGCGGAATTTTGGCCAAACGGAAACGCCATTACGCTATGTAGCACATTCAGTATAATTTATAATGATCGCAACTGAAGGACCGTTTGATCGACTAACTGCAGCAATCTGTGAGTGTGCTTTCTGGGCCTATCCTGGCGGATGACATTGGAGGAAGCGCACCTCCCAACGATCCAGGATGGATACAATGCTGTCGCTGAATTTGAATCTTCCAACCAAAATGAGGAAGCGGAAGATTTTGGCGTTGCTTCCGCTATCCAAGGAGAAGGGGTCCCGCCCAAGATTTTTTCCTCCTTCGCGTGCGCCAAACATGGTAAAATGTGACAGATTCGTGAATAGGAAAAGCCTACAGTAGCTGGCGGAGCCACCGTAGGCACCGTACCGTGCCGTACCTGCGCCGGTACCGTAGCTACTCAAGTCGTACCGGAGCTGTTGCGGTCAAGAGAAAAGGTGGCAGGTAACACCGTAGGGTTGGCAGTATCTGCCCATTCTCCCAGTGACATTGTGAGCAACACGCCCATTAGTATTAGGACAGCTACGACTATCATGCGACTGTGGCAATTATACTGGCGACTTGACTGGGTGTTTAGTTGGATTGATGTTGATACCTACTGGAAAACACAACGGTGGCTAGCTAGCTAGACCTGGACAAATTCGCCACCAACGGTGGCAAACTTCGAGCTAGCCAGCTGCCTGGACAAATTCACCACCAGCTGACCCACCGGAGTGGACGCCAAAGTAAAGAAGAAACTACATGTACCAGTGTGGGATCATACCATTGCACCTAGCTAGTTGGACAAAACGGCCAAGAACAAGATTAATTAATTAATGTAGTCAGTTTCATGTAGGTTTTTATCTTTGGAATCAAATCATGAGTTAAGCTGCAACGAATGCAACCAAACACAACAAGCAATATCTCCTAGGCAGTGATGGCAGTGGGGATCTTGGCGTCGCTTGCCGTGCTCGCCCAAATTGTCCCACGAAGCCATGCCATGGCTCCGGAGCTGGATCGCTTCTTCCCCTTCTCAATCTTTGTGTCTGAGAACCGAGACTTCTTTTTCTTTTTCTTCTGCTTCTGCTTCTTGCTTGACCTGGAGGATCTCCCAGATCTCCCAGAGAGGTTCGTGGATCCAGATCGGTAGGACTCGGTTTCACTGGCATCATCGTCAGAATCGCTATCATCACCAGAAAAAAAGTTGGACAGCGACAAAACAGAACCAGTTTCACTGAGCCCACCCGTGCTCACATCATCTGTATCCCTCCTGATGTTTCGCAAAATGTGGGGGGCATCCACTCCACCAACAATGGTGGTTTTCTTGGCAAAGTATGAGCGATAGGATCGAAGCTTGTTTTCTGCCTTGTCCGTGGCATGTCTTGACAATCCCATCTTGTGGCTTGTAATCAGGAATTGGGTGATCATTCGATCAAATAGCTCTCTTGATAGCTTGGCATTGCCCCTTCCCCTTGGGTACATAACAATTTCCATGATCCTTCGACGATGTTTTGCATCAACGCCCTCATCTGGAAAGAAGGCAAGTTGGAGGAATGCAACAAGGTACACATGGTGATCCATGTAGGGCTGATCTAAGAAGGTGTCTGCAATTTGCGCATCTCCTTCATCTCCAAATCGATCCGTCAAGTCACATGTCCAAGCCCGAACCACTCCTGTTGTGGACTTCTTCTCAAGTGTTTCAGGCAACCAGTCAGGAATTTTAATCTTGGAGTACTCAGGAAGGACCACTTCAGCATCTGTCTCCATGGTTTTGGGTGATGCCAGTGGGAGCGCCTTCTTGATGTGCTCATCCATGATCTTTTCTCGCTGTGCAACCTTCTCCCCATACTCAAAGACAATTCGAAGTGGAACAAGAATGGCAACACATTCATCAACAATTTCCTTGTCAACACCAAATGTTTGAAGCCCCTGAACAAAGCAGCTGGCAACCATATCAAAGTGTGTAGGGCCCAACCCCAGTTCTCGAAAGAGACGAGTATGTGTTCGAAGCATGAAATCCAACAAGTCCTCCTCTTCTGGTTTTTCATTCTCATTCCCAAAGATGACCCGAAACAACTTGACCTGGTGGGTCTTGAGGGCAGACACAGAAATGTTCACAAAGAAAGGCTGGAGGTCGGGGTTCTCCACAATCTCGTCAAAAAAGGAGCATACCAAGAGGTTAATAAAGGCGTCACCACCAAGACGATCATACAAAGTCTGCCCCCCTTGATTCGCAGATGCGAGGTCGGCCTGGGAACCTTGGGGCATGATGATGGATTTGATGTGTTAGAAGGAAGGCAAGGAAGATAGGAAGTGAAATTATGAGCACTGGATATGGCACTGCGAAACATTGCAACAAGCCCAACCAAGCTGCCAAGCCAACCAAAGTCGGCAACTCGAACTGTACTAGTACATGTACATGTACTGGTCATCGAGCTGACCTCTGTCGGATATTCTTTTTCCCAACCACTGTAGGTACCATACCGGAGCCAACGTACTAGTATGCTCCACTGGTGTCCTAACCAAGGGAAGCAAGGTCTGGAATGCTGGGATGGAGGCCACCCAGTATCATCTACTGAGTACTAGCTAGCTTGTACATGTAATCTATCTGAGCATTATTATTTTCAGTCGGAAGTGGGGAGCGAATGGTACTGTACCTGGTACCAGGGCCCAGCAACAGAGTTTGGAATGCCAGAAGTCAAACAGTTAATTGAAACAGTTCACACTTGACCAGTGGTTAGAGGTGAACGTCAGTCGATGATTTGCAAGTTAAAGTGACCAAAAAGGGTACGTGATATCAATAAATAACTATGTCCAGTTATCGTAGGTGGAGTCTTCCACTTTAACCCGTATATGACCACCATTGCAGTCTGACGGAGGAGGAGCCTTGATCTTTAAACCCAAGAATGACCACTGTTGAATATTTATTTTTCCAATTCGATTCAAAGTGCTTACCAGAAGTTCAGGAAAGCTGTTCGATTTTCTTTCGGGGGAGGCGCGGACTTTTGCGAAAAGCCAAAGATACTCGATTGGGATTCACGATTCAAAACACGATTCGAATTGTCCCACCTTTCAGCCTCGGAACAAGATCTTTCTCGCGCTCCCAGCGCTTGGAAACGTTCTCGCAATCTCACTGCCAAACCCCTGCACCACATTCATTCCCAATGACGACAACAACGATACCAGCGACTTATCTAGAAGCCCACAGAGCGCTCTGTGTGATTGTTTGTCTCGTGACGGCTTATGGCTCCGCGATGACACTGGCGGGTCGTTCCGCAGCGCTCCCTCTGTTCGATGGTCTTGGGTTTGGTCCCAATTCTAACGGGCTGAATAAGGACGCGGTCGATTATTGTATCTTTATGTTTGGAGTTTTGGGAGCTGTCATTGTTGGTTGGATGGTCCTCATGTGGTTTGTACTGCGCCATCTCGCTGTGCACCCAGATGTTACCGTACGAATCACGGCCCGACGAGCCGTGACGTATTCTGCAGCCGCCTGGTTCTTCTTGGATACGGGATTTAGCATTGCCATGGGAGAGCTGGAGCACGCCGCTTTCAATATCCCTTTTCTATCGGGCTTGGCAATCCCGCTGTACGTAATGTCCACCTCCGAAGTTCACACGAAAAAGGGCCAATGATGATTGATTGGCAAGCTACCGGTACATCGCAATCGCGATAGACCACGCAGTCTAGATGCGGGATGTCAGAACCAGCTAGGGTTGCCATGTAGAAGCTAAAATGAAGATAAAGAATTTTGGAATCTAAAACAAGCATTGTCGGCTTTGTTTCTGACTCCTGGCTGAGGGAAGAGGCGACATGTAGTGGTCCATTCGACGCTTCAGTGCCTTGGTTGAGCTCTTCGTTGATTGATTCAACTCGTACTTTTCTAAAAAGGCTGGTCTGGACTTCACCGTGTCCCTTTCGTGACTCACCTTCCACCACCCATCACCCCCTTCGCCTTCAGAACATCCGATCTTTCAGATCTTGACCATGCTAATAGAAATGAAACGGGGAGCAATTTTTTCTGCATTATCCCACACCGCTCAAAGCTCTGATCCGCCTATCTCTATCGAGAGCTAGCTTGTGCGGCACCTCACCTTCCAAGGATCCACAAAATCTCAAGAGAGTCCAGTTTTTATAGTTGTTCTTCCATCGGCTTGCCCATGCCAGAATTTCTACCGGTTCTCACCACACCATCATCTTCTACTACACGCCCAAGTAGAAGTAGAAGTTGTGGTTGGAATTTTGCTTGGATCGCCATTATTATGTCGGCCATTTTTCTATTGGCATCCCGGAATAATGTTGTTGGAGTCAAGGCATGGACGTCGTCCTCATCCAATCTTCTTCGCCGGCATGCTAGAGTAAAGGGCCGTTTTTCATCTCCCCCCTTGACGCGTTGCTTTGTCAGTCAGTCATCCAGTAGTAGCAGTGGCAAAAAGAAGAGCAGCCAGGCGAAAAACAAATGGACCCGAAAGACAGGAGGGAAAAAGGTTACCTTGAATAAAGAACTTCATCAACAACAAGCGGCAGATAAGTTGGCGGCTGCGTTTGAGGAATTGGCCGGCAAAGAAGGCTTTGGTGCTTCTTCTTCGAGTTTCTTTGCCAAGGATTCCACCTTTGAAGAGCAATTCCAAGACGAAGATTACGAAGGCTTTTTGGATGATGACGACGAATTGGAGGGTGACGAGGAAGAGGATTCCGCCAATTATTGGGGAGATGGTAGTCTGGAAAATAATGATGATGGAATAGACTACTCTGACGATGGAGGTCCCGTCGTAGGACAAGCCCAAGCTTCTGATGCCAGTATGGAAGCAAGAATTGCTGCTGCCAAACCAGGTCGTTCCTCCCATTTGAAAGGGGACGACCTGGAGGATTTGGATTTGGGTGATTTTGATCTACCATTAGGAGACGACGACAATGATGATGACATGGACGCTCGTTTGGCGGCAGCACAACGTGATTTAGTTCGAGGTCAAGTCTCCCCTGATTTGGGAGACATTACGCGAGACGATATGAAACGATTGGGATTCCGAACGGAACTCAATCCCTTTGAGGGAGATATCGACACCCCACGGCAAGAGGAATTCAAACTTATTACCAATCCATTGACGTGTTCCGCCTGTGGAGCAGACTTTCAATGCAAAAACATTAGCAAACCGGGATATCTGCCACCCGAAAAGTTCGAACATCAGGAGAAATTGGACAAACTGCAAGATTTGCAAGAACTAAAACAAAAAGCAGAGTCGGCAGAATGGACTCCAGAGGATGAAGTGGAATGGTTGTTGCAAACATCTGGTGGTGGTGACGAGGACGCTCCGCCGATGGACGCGTCGGAAGATATCGATATGGATGCCGCCGCGGCAGAGTTGGGCATTGATCTTGGACACGAATTGACCAAAACGAAAAAGGTCATTTGCAAACGATGCCATGGACTCCAAAATTTTGGACAGGTTGACGAAGCTTTGCGGCCTGGATGGACCGATGAACCACTCATGAGCCAACAAAAGTTTCGGGATCTCCTACGACCGTTGAGCGGGAAACCTGCTGTCTTGATTGCCATCGTCGACTTGTTTGACTTTTCCGGGTCTGTCCTCCCCGAGCTGGACGCTATTGCTGGAGAAAATCCTGTCATTTTGGCGGCCAACAAGGCTGATCTGTTGCCACCCAAAATGGGACAGCACCGAGCTGAAACATGGGTCCGTCGGGAACTAGAGTACATGGGAGTACAATCCATTGCCAATATCGGTGGCGCGGTACGACTGATCAGTTGCAAGACAGGGATGGGCGTCCATGCCATGCTGGGAAAGGCCAGAAAGTTGGCAGAGGAAATCGATGGCGATGTGTACGTCGTAGGAGCTGCCAATGCCGGAAAAAGTTCTCTGATGAACTACATCTTGCGAGGGAAAGAGGAACCCAGCAGTGGCCCAAAACAAAGGAAGCGTGCTGGAAACCAAAATCAAAGAAAGGGAGCCCTCACTACCAGTCCACTGCCGGGTACAACCTTGAAGTTCATCAAGGTCGACCTTGGTGAAGGACGAAGCATCTATGATACTCCTGGTTTGTTGGTTCCTGGCACTCTCACACAGTTACTGACACCAGAAGAGCTCAAGATTGTGGTACCCAACAAGTGAGTACTCTGAAGATGATTCACCCTGACCCGTCGGAGTTTGCTTCCTTTCCCCTCGCCTCTTCTAAACAACCACTTTTCTCTTCTGTAGGCGTGTGGAACCCATCACCTTCCGAGTCGAAGCTGGCAAATGTGTCCAGGTCGGAGGTTTGGCACGGATAAGTGTGATTGGTGACAGCAAACCATTCTTGTTCACCTTTTTCGTAGCAAATCAAATCAAGCTGCACCCGACCAGTCAGTCGAAAGCTGATGAGTTTGTGGCCAAACATGTTGGCAAGCTGCTAACTCCTCCATTGGAACCTGGTCCCGAACGCATGGAGCAGATTGGTGAATTTGAAACTCATGTTGTCGAGATTGATGGCACAAGCTGGAAAGAGGCTGCAGCTGATATCACACTCACCGGTTTGGGATGGGTGTCTGTCACTGGCCCAGGAAAAGCAATGGTCGAGATCAGGGTTCCAAAGGGTATCGGTATTCAAGTGCGACCGCCCCTGATGCCCTACGATATGTGGGAGGTTGCAGCCAAATATACAGGTGGCCGAGCAATACGAAAGAGTGGCAAGTCCATCAGTGGGAAACGGCGAAAAGGAGTTGGCAGGAACTAGCCAGTGGATACACCAGCAATCGTGCTGGGGACCACAATCGGGTGAAAGGATTCAGGACACGCCACCAGTACCACTTCGATCCTCTGATTACGTCGAACTGCTTTTAGCTAGACTTTCTGTAGTGTTTAAATTTACGCCAGTAATAATTCCATGTTTATAGATTTATCAGGTTTGGTATCTGAACTTCGTCGGGCCCAAACTCCAGTCCAGGCATCTTAGTAGCATAAAGTTCAGTCTATAATCATTACGCAAACAAATACCCACCGCTAGCTTATCAAAAGAAGAGCGAAAGCAGCAGAATATTTACTCGGCGTCAATGCCACCTTCACGTCCAGCCTTTCGGGATTCGGTTTGGATGAAAAGGTTGATCAAGAACAAAACGGGGAGAAGAACTCCAAGTGCAACAGCCATGTAAGCACCGAACTGAACCTGAAGGGCAACAGTGTTGGAGGGAAGAGCCTCGACGATGGACTCCATGGCGAAGGCAGGTGCCGACAAAGCAGCAACGGGCACGGCGGCGGTGGCGACCTTGGCAACTGATAGGTTAACAGAAAAGAGCAAACATATCTCGTGAGATACCGGCGGAGCAAATCAACAACCCCCAACCGCCCGGTCCTATCGACGAGTTGCCTGTGTCTCGAAAGCAGACAACAGGGTACCCTTTGTGACGGGTACGTCACTCGAGGTGCCATGAAAACGGATGCATCAGTGCTGTACAGTACGCTAGCTAGATCGCAAGAACTCACCGTTGTTGAGTTGAGGGGCGAATGCCATAGCACTGGCCATAAGGGCGAAAAGGGTGGTGATCTGGAAGGTCTTCATGGTTGCTGCTGTATTCAATTGCTTGGTTGACTAATAGTGAAGCTAAGGAGAGACGACCGCCATCACCCAGACAAGATATTCGGAGCCGCCCCCTCTTCCATCAAGGCTTCAAGATTTTTCTCTGGCGGCTCGATCCTTTGCGTTCAACTTCAACACGTACGTGGTGGGGGCAAAGTCTCCTTAGCAAGAGAATCGTATGTAGAATAGAAGACAGCTATTTTAACGATTGATAATTATGCTAAGAACTACGTTGATCCATTCACGAACAAGACGTCATTTTCAAATTTATCCAACCTTTCTTTGGTTGCGGCAGGGAAGAGAAAACGAGGCAAGTTTCTTCTGATGAGTGTACTACTACCAGTAGTAGCTAGTCTGGTAGTACTCGTATTGTCTCTGCTACAACCTCGCGGGCTAGCTAGTAGAGCCTCCCAGCTACTAGCTAGTACAGGTAGTGTTGTTTGTTTGTGCCTCCACCAGCTAGTAGCTAGCACTGGCTTGAATAGTTGAAGTTGCTCATCATGACGACTTATCATCAGTTGGAAAAGACTCACAGGTACTGTAGCTACATCTTCATGCCCCTAAAGTTTAGTCTAGTAGCTAGGTAGATGCAAGTTTGTTTGCTCTGGTGCACAGCAATTATTCTTTGTCTAGCGCGCACATACCAGCCTATACAGTTTAATGGCAGTCAACTAGCAAGTCAACCCAAAGAGAGTAGCCAAGCGAGTAGCTTCCTATCTAAAAGCAATCTAGAAGTATGGGAAGTCTTGGGTGGCCTCACCCAAGGCAGCCTGGGTGGAGACTGCTCCGAATGCAAGCATAGCAAGACGTCCGTTGTTGATTTCTCGAAGCTTCATCTTGTCACTCTCTTCCTTGCTCTTTCCCTTCAAGAAGCCCAAGGGGTCCAATCCAAAATCTCCAGCTTCACGGTCCAATTCTCCCTTGGAGACTTGGACAAGGGCAGCACTAGAGGTGAACTCCAGAACAGCAACAACCAAAAGCATAAACTGCATGGATCCTTGATCGACAAGGATGTCATGAGCATTGTACGAGTTGGGGATGCTCTGGTAGATCTCTCCGGGGAAACGAAGAGGGAATCCAAAGGCACCATCCGTGGCCAACCATCCGAACCAGGCAAGCATGGACACACGGCTGTGCTTGAGTTCGGCCTCACGCATCCAGTAGAGGGTATCAATTCCTCCTGTCTCTTCCCATGAAGGAGGCTGGATGATTCCAGCCCAGTTCTTGGGGATAGAGGAAAGGAAGAAGGGGTCAAAGCCAACATCACCAACGTAGGATCCGTCGAGGGCCTTGGCACGGGGCAAGAAAGGAACAGAAGCAGAGCGCTCTCCCTTCTCGACCATGGTGTCCCAAAGTCGGTCGGGCATTGCGTTCAGCGATGTGCTACTGGAGGTCTGGCTAGTGGTGGAGAAAGCCGAGGCCGAAACGGCCATCATGGCGGCAACAGTTGCGGAGAGCTTCATCATCTTGGAATCAATGAATTTAGGATTAGCACGACTTCTACTAGTAGGCAAGAGTGTGTTCCTGGTTGTTTTCCTTCCTCTGTACCGAGACGAGGACTCAAAGAAGCCAAGACGAGGTTACGCAACCCTGCGGTTTGGCTTTGGCTGCAAGGTCCGATCGAGTCTCTCGTTGAGGTTTCAGAAGGCAAATCTTTTCGACGACATCGCTGCAGGCGTGATTGAGATAGGGTTAGACGTAAACATTAGTGAACTGAACTAGGGTTAGAGCTTATGTTTTTGCAAAGAACTCCCAATCCCAAGAGAACTCCAAAAAGATCCGACAACCCCCAGCCAACCAGCCACTGCAGGAAGATACCAATTCACCAATTCGGGCATTTCAAAAACTAAAGTCTTCCCTTGTAACTCTGGAAGCAAGCGACGGAGCCAAAGAGTGTATTATTGTCATAATAGGAGGACGATAATCATGTTATCTTCTGTGCTACGAAAGGGCGTTGCTGCCTCAGGGCGTCGTGTGGCCAGCATTGGTGGTGGCGGTGTGCGCAGTATGGCCACTATTGATATGGCAGTCCGCGAGGCCATCTGCCAAGGTTTGGATGAGGAGATGGAGCGCGATGAGAATGTGTTCATCATGGGAGAAGAGGTGGCTCAGTACCAAGGTGCCTACAAAGTGACCAAAGGTCTCTTCCAGAAGTACGGGGACAAGCGTGTCATTGACACTCCCATTACCGAAATGGGCTTTACAGGTCTTGGTGTGGGCGCTTCCTTTCATGATCTAAAACCCGTCATTGAATTTATGACTATTAACTTCTCCATGCAAGCCATTGACCAAGTTGTGAATGGAGCCGCCAAGCAGTTCTACATGTCAGGAGGAGACCTGGCCTGTCCTATTGTCTTTCGAGGACCCAATGGTTTCTCGGCTGGAACTGCTGCTCAGCATTCTCAGTGCTTTGGTGCCTGGTACTCCAGTTGCCCTGGTCTCAAAGTTGTCTCTCCCTACAGTTCGGAGGATGCCAAGGGTTTGATCAAAGCTGCTATTCGAGATCCCAACCCAGTCATGGTCTTGGAACATGAGCTCATGTATGGTATCAGTTTCCCCATGTCCGATGAAGCACAATCCAAAGATTGGGTTGTCCCGATTGGACAAGCCAAAATCGAGAGAGAGGGAACCGATGTGACAATCATCTCCTTTTCCAAGCCAGTGGGACTTGCATTGGAAGCTGCGGAAGTCATGGCGACCAAGGGAGTATCATGCGAGGTCATTAATCTTTTGTCCCTGCGTCCTCTGGACCGTAAAACCATTATTGCATCTGCCAAGAAGACGGGTCGTGTTGTTTCGTTGGAACAGGGATGGCCCCAGTGTGGTATTTCTTCCGAGATTGCTGCCATTTTGATGGAAACGGATGCTTTTAATTACTTGGATGCGCCCATGGAGCGAGTCACTGGTGCAGATGTGCCAATGCCCTATGCTGCGGATTTGGAAAAGGCAGCCTTGCCACAGCTGGAAGATGTTGTGGCGGCAATCGAACGAACAACGTATCGTTCCATGGCTGCCTGAGAGCCAAGTTTGCTTTCATATCAATTTTTGCTCTCCAGGCCAGGCCGTGCTCACCCTCCACAATAAATAAATGAACTAAAGTAGTGGTTGGTTTACGTCAAGGTGGTGTGAGACTGCTGCAGAGGATTCTTCACGGCGAACTGTAAAGCATGTAACATTGTGATAGTCGTGGTTTTTTCAGGAATTGAAGAGATTTATTTTAAACGCTTATCACTCAGGAAGAGGTTGCATCCTCCTCACGGCAACAATGAATTGATATCTTAGTTTCAATTGATTGGGTTACCATAGCGATTTGGCAGTTGGCGACCTGTTTCAGTAAAAGTCACCCTTTGCAAAAATCGTATGATTACCCTATTATTAGTAACTGACACGACAGCACGACGCAATGACCGAGATGACTACTTGTATGATAGTATGGATTGATTTTTCTTCAGACTTTACTAGATCTGGTCTTTCGCCCCAAGTTTTCGTTGAAGAAGCAAAACCCAGACTGTCAAATAACGTTAGTTCGTGATGGTTTCACTCCAACGTTCTTGATGGTACCGGTATCAGTGCATTGCTAGAGACGAGAACAACGGTGTGATTGTACTCAAAGAAGATATGGGCCGCCTCTTAAGCTTGCCTTTTGCGCGTTCTTGGTGGAGGAAGGTTTTTGTCTGGGGCGACGATGTACCAGGTATCGATTCATACTGGAACGGTACCTCACGCACTGCTGCAGAAATGCCCAAAGTGCTGCCCCGGTGACAGCAACGATGACCGTGATTCGATCGTTTTCTTTGCGCAAGAGATCGTCAGAAATCAGCCATGATCGAATCCGGCTGTACAAAATTCATTCTTCACCACTTCCCAAACCAAAGACCAGAATTCTGTCATCTTCGTAGCAAGGGATGTACAGCTTGGCGTAGCCAGATTCCTGATCCAGATCTGTTTCACAGAAATCCCCGTAGCCAACACCGATGCTCCCCACAGTGGAACCACATTGGAGTTCGCACATGAGGTCATACACGGCTGATGTGTCGGCGTCATCCGAATCAGCAGCACCGGCCTCGGCTGGTCGAAATATGTAAGCTGATTCAGCGCAGTCGCCAGCTACTGCTATCAGAGGTCGTTTCTTCTCTAGCCCATTTCTGTCTTGCTGTCTCGCATGAAATGTATAAACAAAACCAGGGGCACCTGGGTTGATCATGTTGTTGAGTTGGCCTTGGACTTTGAAACCAGTCGCGATGGTGGACCTCTTCCAAGTGTCTGTTTTCCAATTCTCCGGAACGCGGTAAGCAAACAGCGACCCACCATCCGTGGCACTGTTTGTACGAACCGTGGGCTTTACCCGTTCTGTTTTATCGACATGTTGACGAGTGAAAACATTCCTCTTTCGTTCCTGTTCTTCACGAAAACTGCATTCGTGGCTCGTCACAAGAAGGTGAGAGAACGGGTCGCCAGGTCGAAGCGTTTCCACTGTGCTGCCCCCGTCAATGACACATCTATTAGTTGTCGTCTGGGCTGCATCCTCATTCAAATCAGCCACAATGCAACCAAATGCTTTCCCGCATTGTTTATCAATGGTACGCTGGAATGTCACCTTGGGTGTTGCTCCTCTCTGAATGGAATGAAGTGTCACCTTTTCTCCAAAGAATTGACTGGAAATGACCTCTACTGTATCATCGTTAGTATCCAGATCCACCACGTTGAACATTACATCAGGTCCTTCATCGAGGACACTGTCATAATATGCATTCATTCAATGGAACAGATGACAACAAGGACGACCGAATGAGTGAGACAATGGGTTGTTTGTTTAGCCTCTGGCTCAAGCATCAAAAGTTCTTTTGATGAACGGTCACTAAATCACTTACTGAACTTTCCAAGGCAAGTGTCTGGCACTGAGAGGATCAAAAATCGTACCATCTGCTTCCAAAGGTGTTCCCGTCCTTTCATCTATTCGGAATGGCTTTGGCATCTCCAAACAAACCAGCTCTCCACGTGTGGGTTTCTTGGGTCGAGTTTTTCCGGCCTTTCCATTCTTGACAGTAGTATAGCTGTGTTTATTGTTGTTGTTGTTGTTGGAACTCCCCAATGGGAACTTGGCCCTGGCAGTTAGAATGGACTTGCGCCCGTCCCCCGTCAAGTCTATCCAGACCGCTCTATTGTAATAATATTTTACCGTGGGCATGGAAGAAGAATGTTGAATCAATTGACTTGAAAAAAGACGCCCTCAGCGACGCTTCCACATCTCATGGAAAGCCTTGCTTTTCTTTGCTTACTTACCTGTGGTAGAACCATCGATCAGCACTGTGTTGATTGTCGGTGACACATACAGTCCATTCTGTGTTTGGATTTCCTGGTTGCTTGACCACATAAATACCACCTCGTTCCTTTCCGGGAACTAGAAATCCATCACTGACCAGTACAGCATCCTTCAGGTCTTCCACGAATGGCTTTTGTGTGGCAGTTGTAGCAGCCGCAGAGGAAACCAAACAAGTGTCCACAATTTCGCCTTGGCGATGCTGTCCCATGGTTGCTGTTGTCCTTGTGTCAAAAAAGTGAGCCGGAACGGGACCAACTTCATTGGGCCACAACAAGGACTTTGCGGTTCTCTTGTTGACGGACTGTATGTGACCCGAATTGGTGTCAATGCTGTAGAGATATCCATGTCGTCCCGTGATGGAGAATCCAGTGACCCAAACTCGATCTCTACTACACACTTGTTCTTCCAACTCATCCAATACGGTTCCCTGCATTCGTTTCCAACGATCCCATCGTGGTGTCTCGTCGAGAAATCGCAACGACGCCGAAGTGGATCCCGCGCCATTTCCCGGCATGACGGAAACGTAGCCCGGTTTATTGACGGCAATAACCGCCATGAGTTCCCAACTGAGCAGTGTATACTTGTCGTATAGTTCTTCTCGTTCTTCGTCATCGATCCATTGGAATCGATCGTAGGATGCCAAACTCAAATCGACGGCGGTTCCATTGACCATCAATTGCGTCGCACTCTGTTTCTTATTGCGGAGCCATTTCAATTTGGGCGGTTCAATCACTTTGGCCACCACGGCATAGCGGCCCGACACGAAACGTTGTCGGTCCGTGGCCATGCGACTCAAAATGGATTGATGATACTTGGACAAACCTTCACGGCCCAATCCACGGCCCAATCCACCAAGTGTGGCCGTAGTGATGCTGGAAGAAGCAACCTGCAGGGGTGGTACTTCTCGATTGGTTGGACATGGTGGCTTTTCCCGACTACTAGGTATTCTTCTTCTGGCAATGCCGGGAGGGTGAAAGGCATGGACCGAGGACAGTAGTGCAAAAGTCAAGACAAACCACTTGCAAATGACAGCTGGAAGAGAGGAGGAACCAAAACTCTGTAGAAGAGTCTTCCTTTGCTGCATCCTTCCTTGCCCTTGACCTTCACGAAAGGAAAGGCTTTGGATGGCTACAGCAACCTTGGATTCAGCTTCCACACAAACACTCAAAGGCTCTTAGCAAAAAGACATGCAACAGGCAGTACCGTAACAATAATGAGATAGACTTCCTTTCTCGGCTTTCCTCTTCTTTTTGTCTTCTTTGTCTTGAAGGTTCAAAGTTTCATTTCTTTTCTGCTTTCTCGCTGCACATTTGAACCCTAAGAGTTTTTTAGGGTTTTCTTCTCTGCCAATGACGTCAGAAATCTTTTCTGTGGGAAACCAATCATCCATCAATCATCATCCTTTGAGCTGTTGTCAAAGAAGCCACAGACAAACTCAGTGTCTGCGGCAATAATGGTCCAGCCACCATAGTCTAGTCATCGGATCAGCCATACGTAGATAGACAAGCAAGCAGTACCAGTTATTTAGGTGTATCGGAGAGATTGGAGTGACCGTTGTCTGCACAGGAAAAACAACAATCATGACGAAATCCGCGTCCTTACAACTCTGCTGCGGCATGGCGGCGTTTTCAGGCCTGCTTTTGCTCGGCCATGTGCAAGGCTTTACTCCATCCGGAGCGATCGGTCGTCAGGTCCCCGTCTTGCAACAGCAACATCAACGACAACTTGCTTCTCGTTATCATCGCCCATATTATACTGCAAGATCCCCCTTGACCATGTCGGTCGAAGGAGACTTTGATCCCGACGCATTGGCCAAAGCACGTCAAGAAGCGCAAGAATCAGACTCGATCAAGACGAAACTGCGAGCGCTCTACAAATTCACACGGCCTCATACTATACGCGGGACCATCTTGGCATCCATTGCGGGAACGACCCGGGCGTTGATTGATACTCCCGGTGCCATTGCCAATGCGCAGTGGGGGTACATGTTGCCTCGTGCCTTTTTGGGAATGTTTGCACTCCTCTTGGGAAATGCCTTTATCGTGGGTATCAATCAAATCTATGACGAAGATATTGACAAACTCAACAAACCATTCCTGCCCGTGGCCAATGGGGAAATGTCCAAACGATTTGCGTGGGTCGCCGTGGTGACGTCTGGGGTGGTGGGGCCCATTGTGGTGTAAGTTGTGGTGGTCTTGCCAATTGAATTGAAATCATTGGAGAGAAAAGGGTATCATCATTTCCTGACATTGCATCTTGGTTCTACATATTGTTATTATAGCAACGCCGCCTTTCCTCCCCTATTGTTCCGGCTGTATTCTTTGGGATTGTTCCTGGGGCTCATTTATTCCGTCCCGCCTATTCGGACCAAGAAGAATCCAATACTCGCCGGTCTCACGATTGCCACTGTGCGAGGATTCCTCTTGAACTTTGGAGTGTACTATGCCGTCAAGAATGCCATTGGATCCACCTTTGCTTGGTCTCCCAAGGTGGCATTTGTGGCACGGTTCATGACGCTCTTTGCGTCTGTCATTGCCATTACCAAGGATCTGCCCGATATTGAAGGAGACAAGGTATGTGTGTCGCTGTCGGTCGGAAGAGTTTATGATGCAGTGTTGCTGCTTTGGAACACTCGTGTGGATCCTCAGGTCAGGCTCAACTCACAATGTGTTTCATGTATCATCGTCGTTAGGCATATGCCATTGATACCTTTGCTACCAAGGTAGGTGTCAAGCGAATTGCACAAGGAGCGACGGGGGCGTTGTTTTTGAACTATGTCCATGCCGTGGCTACCGGGGTCCTGTCCGCGGCGGGTACCTTCAAACGCATCCCCATGATTGGAGGACACATTGCTCTGGCAACACTGTTGCTGATTCGGTTCCGTCAGCTGGACCCTGATTCCATGCCTTCCGTAAAGAAGTATTACAAGCACATTTGGGATCTGTTCTATCTGGAGTATGCGCTCTACACTTTGATTTAGCCAAAACAGAGGCAACCAATGCGAGCCAAGCTAAAACCAGAAGCATTGAGCGAAGCAAATGTATACTATCACTGTGCCAAGTACGTGCTACGCTAGCTCGCTATAGCTACAGGGCAACAAAGCACCCCACCATAAGTTACTCAGTTCAACAAGAATAGCATTACTCGCTTTTATGACTAGCTAGTTATTCATTCATTCATTTTCTAGGACATGCATCTCCCGAGAAAGACCCAAGCTGTGGGTACTTTCATTTCCATAACAATCGTAATCGACGACAATAACCCAACACACATACATGTAATTCCGACATTTTGTATGGCCAGCAGACAGGAACATGAGAGAGCTATGAGAGTGACTCAGAGTCACTTCGTCCAGAAGAAAGTGGTACGGTTGTCCGTATCGTGGCGGGAACGTAGAGTGTGACCCTGATACTGGCAAAAAAATTTCGCCACGGATGGTTGTCGTATTCTCCCCAACCACCAATCCGACAGCATCTATCTTCGATCTCTTCTATCTATTTATCGCTCCCTCCTGCTTTTGGGTGGTTCACCATCCTCAAACTGCAATTGCTTGTCGATATTGACTCGAGCTTGCGTACAGTGTCGTTGCTTCCAGTTGGTGGCAGCTTCATTAAATGCTTGAATGATTTCACACAGCATGACACTCATTTGCAGAATGTGCATTTCCTTTTCAATTTCCACACGTTGTTTCAATTCGGGATCCATATAATACCGAAATAGTTCCGCGATGTTGTCGGGTGGTTCCGCATAGAGCGGCTGGTCACAAGCGTCCATGGTGCCCATGAAGTTTTTGGGCATGTAGTGTTTGCCAATAATGAAATTTCCCAGTCCGTAGCGTTTGGAATATTGCAAAATATGGGGTTTCAATTCGACGGGAGTCTGGCGACATTGCGCATCGGGTCGACTCAGCAGGGCGGCACCCTCGTATCCCGAAAAATGGGCCTCCAAGAGTCCAAAACCCGGTTCCTTGTGTCCTTGAATGGAAAAGGATTCGGCCAATTGATGAGGTTTCTGCAACTCGGCTGCCGCCAAAGCATACGGGCCATGTGGTTCCCGCAGTATTTTTTCTTGCAACGCTTCAAAGAGTGGGAATGCCACGGCCGACCACTTTTGCACGAGGGGATAAAAGTCCGATGCGGCCGCCAATATCGGCAAGCCCGTAGCATAATGATTATCGACGTCACTGCGCAGCATTTGTTGCAATTTGGTCAATCCCGGTTGAATGGCGGGTGACGATACTGTGCCGACTTCTAGTTCATTCCACCATTGACTGGGAAATGCCGTGTGTTGTGCCATGGGATGTCCCGGTTGGACTCGTTGGGGTTGTCCCTGTAACTGAGGATTCAACTGTTTCTTCCACAATTCTTCCATTCCAAAGTCTGCCGTCAAGGGTCTCATGACAATCATATCGCAATCCATGACAATGATAACGGTCCCATCATGGGCATTGTTGGGTTTTTGTTCGGAATATCCCAGAACATGTTCCATCCAATGGTAGATTCCAAAGGGTCGATTAAAGTATTTCATGTGTTTGCGCAGCGACCCAATTTCGGCCTGATGCGGATGGGCCGGTGCAAAATGAACGTGAAATCGCGACGCACTGCCACTGGCGAGTACGCCCATGGGTTCAATTTGTGTTTTATGTGTGGTTTCCAAACTCATTTTGCGTCCTTCTTGTTGACATCCCGAAATGACGCGCGTGACTTCTCCCGGTTGTTTCATTTTGTAAATTCCGTAAAACAATACGTATGCCTGCCAATCTTGAGTGGGATCTCGACAGTCCGTATGAAATACAATATGAAGGGGTGTGGGAGACTCCTTGACTTTGGCAGGTGGTACCAGATAATTGCTGGCTCCGTGGGAAGACGAGATCTTGAAATCGCCCTTGGCGGCAGCCACCGTGGCCACTGAAGAAGAAATGCGTTCGGGAGGAGGCGTCTGATTTGGTACAACGTTCCCCTTTTGCTTTAATCGACGATTGATCATGAGGGTCAGGCTCAAGACCAACACATTCAGGAATAAGCAGACACATGCCAGGCAGTTGAGGGGTGTCAGAGCAAACCATCTTCTACCCTTGGGAGATCCTGAGGATGATATTATTGGGTCAGCTTGACGTCTTTTGCGTAAGAGTGGTCTGCGTTGTAGCTTCTTGAGGCGGACCATGGTGATACTGTCAAATAGTACGGTAGGTCGAGGTTGAGGGATTGTGTTGGCGATCCCACGCGGTGTTTGGGACGATAGAAGACAGTTGGGTCGAATGCAGCCAAGCAAGAGGTGCGCCAACAAAAGATACTTCAGACCCGGATTGAGTCACGAATATTCGTGGCACGATCGATTGTTGGGGAGGGAACGGTCAGTGCGTGGAGTGGGTCCACCGGTACGTACCGGTATGCTGAAGAGATGGCCGTTGTAGCCAAGCCATCTTTTAGGGGCATGAAAGATGAATGTTGCTTTGGGAAAGGCTCGGAAAAGATCAGGTGGCACGGCGGGGCAGGGAGCATGATGTTCAAAGTTTCCGAGAGCTATCCTGCCAGTACCGGTACCGTTGCCAGCAACAAAGCTTGTGAACGAAACAATAGTGTAAAAACCTCTTCTACTCATGGCAAAAAATTAGATCAGACTATGGGGTCGGGAGATTTTTTCTTTCGTTTTTGCTTGTGAGTGACAAACTGGAGGAAAACTAAGACCCAGCTGTGGCTTTCAAGCAACGTCCCTCTCCGCAAAGCTGATGCGTGTATTGTGGATTGACTGTGCGGTTAGTTGGTGTTTCACATTGTTCCCATAAAGTTGAAATGGATTTGCAGGGTGGATCATCACCCTGAAGCTTTCACGACAATTCGTTTCATGTTGGTCGAAATATCCGTGAGGAGGTCAATCGTCGTTTTCTGATTTTGCATCATGTTAGAATTCAGCTGATTAATGGCATGCAAGACAGGGGAATAATTTTTTGTCAGAGTATCTTCTGTAGCAGCTTCAACCTTTGCCGTCACACTGGCAGCTCCTGCAATATTGTCAAGGTAACTTGCGGGGCCAAGTCCTCCCATGACAGTACTGGATGAAACTGTGAGAATATCAAGGTATCCAGCAGGACCACTTCCAGATGGAGCAGCCGCAACCTTCAAAGAGTTCAAGTAGTCTCCAGCAGCAGCCGCTGTGGCAGAGTCATCCACCAATTCTGACATGGAAAAGGCAGCGGCACTTGCCGGAGCAGCTGATTGGGCGGCAGGGGCAGCTGATGAACCGAGGGCAGCAATGGCATCCAAATAGGGATATCCAGTAGAACCCGCGGGGATGGCTGGTTCTACCATAGGAGCAGCCGCCTCAACCACAGGAGCGGCCACCTCAGCAACAGGGGCCGCAAATGCGCCAACATTATCCAAATAGGAACTTCCAGCAGTGGGGCCAGGCCCACTCTTTTTAAGACTGGAAGGCTTCATTGCACTTCCACCTCCCATCTGCGAAAGATACCCTTGGGGGCCTGATCCCGCACTAGCAGGAGCAGCCGGAGTTGCTGGAGCGGCCACCTCAGCAACGGGGGCCGCAAATCCACCAACATTATCCAAATAGGAACTTCCAGCCTTCGGACCAGGCNNACTCTTTTTAAGACTGGAAGGTTTCATGGTACTCCCACCTCCCATTTGAGAGAGATACCCTGCAGGGCCAGATCCAGCAGTGGCTGCTGGAGTAATGGGAGCAGCAGATTCCACAGGAGCAGGGGGCTCAGAAACAGGAGCTGAAAATCCACCAACATTATCCAAATAAGAAGCCCCAACAGCAGGCCCGGGTCCACTAGGTTTTATGCTTGACGGTTTCACTGTGCTTCCTCCTCCCATATGAGAAAGGTATCCTCCCTGAAGAGCGGCCGCGGGGGCGGCTAGAAGCACGATAATCGAGCCAGAGAACTTCATTCTATCGTCGGTAGATCAGCACAAGCAAGGATTATTAGTTGGCTTCGATTAATTTGGTAAGCTCCGAAGAATAATGGTGTCTTGGAGATGTGAAAGGATCCAAAACAATGGAAGTCTGATGGCATAACCTTGGGCCAGTTGATGGCTGTATCCAGCTTCTGACGTCAGTTTGAATCTTCAACCAATTGATTTCTGGTTTCGATTCGATTCATTCGACTCAACCGGTACCGGTACCTCCTGATCACTGATCGTCGGTTGGGTGACCATACCGGTACCAGAAGGGGATGCCAACCAAGGCAGCCTGTTATGCATTTGAGACGTATCTTTGATCACGATTCTAGCTAGCTACTATGGATAGTGCCAGCTACAATATCATAATACTTCCGCGATTAGCTGGTACAGAAAAAGCAAAGTACTTCCTTGATAGATGACAAAAAATGAGACATTGTCCACGCAATAATTCAAACGACAAAATGAAGAAAATTGTTGGGCTTGGATCCATCCATCCTTCGAATTGAAAGTGCGCCTATTGCACGACTGTCGCTGCCAAATCCGTCACTTCCTTTTCAATGGAGGACTTGGCGCACAAATCCTCTCGAAAAGGAATTGCCTCATAACCATGAGCTGCGCCCAAGATGGCCCCCAACACCATGCCGCGGGATGTTGAGTGTCCTCCAATCATGACATTCTGCAGCAATGCCTTTTTAGGATCGTGAGCGTACTTGTAAGCCAAGAACAAGACTACCGTAAAGGTTTGCTCGCAGTAGCACGCCGTAGAAAGCCGGGATGCCTCTCTTTCTCCAAATCCCGCCACATCCTCATCATTTTCCACCTCCAACATGCGATGGATAAATTCCTTGGTGGTTTCCGAAGTATCTAGTTCCATGTGTTGCTTCCACTTTTGAGCTTTGGGAATGTTGCCGGGACCTCGATTGTTGACATAGGAATCACGCATTTCACGGCCCGTAATCTTGGGTGGTGACATTTTCAACATGGCTCGATCCAAGGCTTGGCGCAGATTGTTGGCGGCTTCTTCGGATGTGGCAGGAATTGGTTGACGCAACAATTCGAGCAACAAGGGTACCAAAATGGCCAGCGTGGCGGTTACGGTGATGCTCTTATGAGTCAAATGAGCATGCTCGACGGCTCGTCCCATGACGTACCATTCTGGCTCGTTGGCATATGCCACAATCATGGGAATGCACATTCCAACTCCATCAATGCTGCCAATGGACCAGCTTTCTCTCTGATTTTTGGCACAATCACGCAATGCTTTTCCACTTGATGCATTGGTGAAGAATCCTCGTAGGTAAACATCTAGGTAGGTATCATTATGGTTGACCAGCTGATCCTTGTCGTCGTGAGTGTTTTTGGGAGGAGGAGTGACCATGTAGTTGTACAGACTCTCCAAGAATTCGTCCGGGTTGTACCGATCTGATCCGCCGGCGTTGGAGGATGCCAAATATCGCATGGCCAATCGGGCAATGCAGGCATTAGCAGTGTTCTGGCCCTTGAGCAGCGTGCGATGATAATGAACACGGTCGGATGCTTTGGCACCAACGAAATTGCCATGATCATCCCGGAGGGCTTGTTCTTCTTCCTTCGTTTTGACCTCCTGAGCCTTTTGGGCAAGCTTGTTTCCTTCATAGAAGTGAGCATTATTGTGCATAATGTCAATATCACCTTGATAACTCATTCCTTGGAGCATGGACTCGGAATGGTTGGGTTTGGAGGCGACAATCTCGGTGATTTCTCCATATTCTTTGCGAATATTCTTGGGCGAATAGAACCAGTGCACCGGAACTGCGACGGCGTCTCCCACCAGCATGCCATAGAGGCTACCCTTGAGCTTATCGCGGACCACTCTTTGAATGCCAACCATAGTTGATGGATTGCTTAACCACTACTCCACAATAGTTTTCTTGCTACCGGTATACCGATACGGAGAGCTGGGAAGTGGCAAGACAGATGTGAGGGAATCTTTTGGCCGCTTCTAACTTCGCTTCGAAGCTTAGCTTCACCGTCGGTTGATCTTTCGTGTCTCGGCGACTTCCTGGGAGTCCCGGTCCCATGAGGAATGCATTCTTAAAAAGGCTTCAGAAATGACGTGAGAAAGAGGCCTTGACATCACAGTTTTAAAAAGGTGTATAAAAAAACTTCTTTTCTTCGATTCGACCTCCAAAATAATATCCATAGTCTTCAGCAACATCGCCAATCCTTGGCAGAGCAGAGTCCAATGAATCGAAGCACTGTGTTACTCCCGTTATCCCGCTCCCGCTCCAGGACTCCAGGAGCTGCAATGGCACTGGTATCAGAACTGGGCCATGCTGTTGACTGCCTTCGACCCAAGCTAAAGATGCTGCCTAGCTTGTTGATTGCCCGAGTCATGGAATGACGTATCGAGGACGGCCACGTAGGCGAGCTCTTCTCCATGCAACTTCAAATTTTGCTATGGTACGTGGACTTCCATTCTGTACTTCCTGCCAAGTAAATTCCTAACAAACAAAAAATCGACAGTTGGCATTTGTCTCCCGGAAGGTACGGCTTCAGAAAAGCTTGCAATGAGAACTCTTCAGCACCATCTCGGAGTAATGTTCCAGGCCAGTCACTTTGGTTTGAAGCCGACTCTCTGGTCTCTTGCCGTTCCTTCCTCTTTCTACTATTGAAGATGCGTGTCGGCACCAAATTTTTGGTTTCCAATCGCATCTTCAATTACGCACAAGAAATTTTCTTTCGCCCAATGACAAACAAGAAGAGACCAAAGACAAGCTGTTACAACCAACCAAATTAACCAAACCAGCAGGAGCTTCCTTTCGTTGAGTGTCTTTTAGTAGGATGCCGGCTGTTGATACGCAAGCAGAATGGATGACGTTCGAAGAGTCAACTCTGCCATCCAAGCTGAATGAAATCGAATCCCATCTTTTCCCTTCCGATTGATGATGCCAAGATCTTGAGAAAGCATTCCAGTTCTCACAATCCATCAAACCAAAAGGAAAAACTTGCATCTATCAAAACAATTACACCATGAAGTTCACTGCATCTATTGTTGCTCTTTTGGCTGCTCCAGCCCGTGCCCTTCAAGGTGGATACTTGTCCCAGATGGGAGGAGGTGGTGCAGTGAAGGCCTCAACACTCAAGCCTGCAGGTTCTGCTAATCCTGCATTTGGAGCCAGCTACTTGGATAACATGGGTGGAAATGCTGTCCCAGCCACCCCTGCTGCTACTGGAAGCGTTTTTTCCTTGTCTGAATTGGTGGATGACTCTGCCACAGCCGCTGCTGCTGGAGAATACTTGACCTCTTTGAAGGTTGCCGCTGCTCCTTCTGGAAGTGGCCCTGTTGGATACCTTGATGCTCTTCGTACCCAAGCATTTGAGTCTGCAGCTACCAACCTTCCTGGTTATCTTGATACTCTCACAGTTTCAGCCAGTACTGTCACGGGAGGACTTGGCCCGGCAACATACCTTGACAATATTGCAGGAGCTGCCACTGTGGCTGCCAGGGTGGAGGCTGCTACAGAAGTCACCATAGTTTCCAGTGAACCCATTTTGGCTGCTATCAATCAGATGCAAGAAAACATGAACAAGAACCAAGAGGCTACTATTGAGATCCTTCAAGACATCAACTCTTCCATGAAGCAACTTGTGACTGCTGCTCGCGTTGCACCAGCTCAGCCTGCTGCCGCTGCCCCTGTTCAAGCTGCCCCAGTTGACGCCCCCGCACCTGCTGCTGGAGACTACCTGTCCCACTTGAATGGTGCATCTGTTCCCACAGGACCAGGTCTCGTTGGATACTTGGACTCTCTCCCTTCGACCGAGCTCACATTTGCGCTTGAGGGGGGTGGTGTCACGGGTGCCTCTGTTGCCGCCGGAGACTATTTGTCTTCTTTGCGCTAAATCATTGAAGGCAAGAAGAATTGGAAGTGGCTCTTTCGCTTTTGTGTCACTGTTCACTTGCTGTCGCTACTTCAGCCAAGACAATCGTCAACGTCCGCATCGGTGAGCCGTTCCGAGACCCATATCCACGCACCCCTCTGTGGGCAAACGGCACCGAAAACTTTCACCCACAGCACAATCACAATTCCACCATGCTACACGTAGCGCACTCGAGACCAAAATCAAATATAAGACAATATTAGTGGCCTAATACGTTTTGCTATGACAGTTCGTTTTGTATAGCGTCACTCATGGATTCAATGCGTAACGAGGCCTCGCAGAAGAAAGCAGCACTCGTCCGTTTGGCAGCATCTTAGCCGGCTCTTTTCTGTTCCTTCACCAAGGTTGTGGAAAGCATCCGTAAGTTGGTCACATTACGCTTTCACACTGCTGCATTTGGAGACTAGCTAGCTAGTTGAGCCAGGAAACAATCGCTTTAGTCTGATCTTGGACGCGTACATGTAGAATTCATATGCCCTCTGGGTCGTCTCCGTTTCCAGTACTAGTTTAACTCGTTTACTAATACAGGATTATGGTGAATAGAATCGAATCAATCATGTGGCTTATATTTAGGGTTTAGGTTTGGTAATTTTGAAGTCAACGTGGTATATGTGAGGTTGTAAAAGTTTTGTGTGATAGTATGTGTTAAGTGGAGGGTTGGTTCGCTTCCGCTGGGAGCTGGTGTCTTCTTCTTCCTCTGTTTCCTGCTCTTCTTCGGTACTGGGTATTCGGTAATAGGATCGTGAGCAAGTTCGGCAGCTTTCTTCATACCTTGTGGATGTGTCATCATTCTGACTATTCGCAGGTGACACTTTGGCCGACGTGGTTCGTGGAACAGGTGGAACGGGAGATGACTTATTTGGTTGCATTGGAACTGGAAATGGTTTGGAATAATATTCGGGAGGTCCAGTATTAAGGATTTGAAAGTGAGGGCACGGGGATTTATACGGTAAGCTACTGTAGGAGACTTACCACCGTTCTCCTGCTGGTGCTTTTCGAGAAGAGTTCCCAAGAAGGCCTCAAAGTTCATGCCGGGGGGTAGTGCAAAACCACGGGGAAGGGCCAGTGTGGCAGCTTGAAGGCGAACTGGTGGAGTAGAGGTGGGGGCGGGGGATGGTGTGCGTGCGTAGTGTGCTTGTAATAATGTTGCGACGGGCACCAGTGATGGCTCGCATGCGACCGAGTCCATGCATCCAAGGTTGTTTGGTGAAACCAACGGACGTAAGACGTAAGCCGGGAGTTGACCACGAGGCCAAATAGAGTACACATGGCCCTTGTCGTCCTTGAGGAACTCGGATACAGTGCGGTATTCGCCTTGATCGATCCAAGAACCGTCACAAGGTGGTCATGATGTCGGAGTGGGTGATCAGCTCACTCCAGGTGTCATGGCCTTGTACCACTTGTCTGTTTCGTCGAGAACTAGGGAAGGGTTCATCTTCTTTGCCGGTCGTACACGTTGGAAAGCGTTACAGTTCCTCCCACGACTCAGAGTATCCGTGAGTAGATTGGGTCATGTTTTATGAGTCAAACGATGGAACAGAGAACGCTGGCAAGAACACGTTCTCAACGAAACAAAGACACGGTAAATGAGTATTCGACAGGAGTAAAGCATCCTGCCAACGAACCGTTTCCCGCAAATACCACGTTGACTTCCGTATCAACTACCACGATGTATTGATCTAACACGCTACAACTAGCGTTACTGATCGCATCAATCAAAGCTCACAACACAGATTATGAATTACTAAGAAGCGAACTTTGCATTTACCTTGCACTCGTCTTGAATAGTTGCAGTTGATCTCGTCGGGTGGTAGCTACCTCTACAATCCCTCTATTCAAGTAGTATTTCCTCACGTTAGCAGATTAACTAGTCGCAGTTACGCACTGCACACCTTCATCAAGATGCCGATGAAGCAACCAAGCTCAAGCATGTCCTATGCACCCTATGCGGCGAAGATGCTTCCACCCCAGGGTACACTGCATCTCACATGCGCATCGCACTGTCTGAACAAGGAATCGACGGATGGATGGATCTCCTACTTCTCAACCACAAGATGAAGTTATGGATCTCCAAGCTTCCAACGACACCAACGGCAATGTCAAGAGACCAGTACCTCTCACCAGGAAGAAACTACTGCTCGCGGCGATACAGATGTATCACCGTTGGTCGTCCAGGAGGAAGGCACCCATCCGCGTCGTAACACCTGCGGCCGACGAAACACTCGACGCTTTCAGAGTTTGGACTGCTTCCAGCCACAGGCGAAATCGATCCCATGCAACAAATGAGACTGCAGGATGCCACGATGAAGATGGGGAACGTGCAATCGCAACTTTGGGACAAGAACAATAAGCCCGTCGCTCAGATTCAGAGAGTTCGCGATGAATCAGTCTTCATCCAAATGGAGGAAGAATTTCTTCAACACGCTCAGAGTCTCAAGGTCTCTCCCACCTCATTGATTCTGAATTTCACGGTCACCAACGTCGAACTAGACGGAAACAACGAGATGGATGTACAAGACCTTACGAAGACATCTTCCTAGAAAGCACAGGCAAGATCTGTGCGTCCTTGCAACGAAACCAGCAAGGACACTCGCGCGATCTGGAAGGCAATTGACGACTATTACTCCAAGTCCATGGTCGCAACCCTGCGCTCGGATAAGATTTCGTGTTATCTCACCTCCGCCGATATCGCAGAAGGCACATGGAGAGGATCCCAAGCTGGTTTCATCTCCAACTTCCTCGAACAATTTCGGCAGTACAATGAGATCAGCGATGAGCCATACACTGAACAACAGGGGGCACGTTTCTTGGAACGCTCAATCTCCAAGGCACCAAATCTCGCTCCCGTACGACGTCTCGCAATGCAGACCAAGAAAGCTGCAGGCGACACCTCCCAGTATACTCTCGAGCAGTACCGAGCGGCCCTTCTCGAGCAAGCACAACTCCATGACATGCAAATCATGCGACGTCTACACGCTCTCGAAGCAACGCCCGTCGTCGCACCTACCAACACGAAATTCTCTTCTTTT